TACTATCCAGGCACAACTCTGCTTAGACTCCTAGGCCTCTGATAAGATGCGACACATTGAAGGTGATTTTGTAATTTAGCAAATTCACTTGATACACTAAAATACAGTATATAAACGCCCTTTTTAACCACGGGGGAGTCTAGTTTTAGATTCTTAACCAGTACATTTCTTTGTTTTACCATTGGACAGTAACGTTTCTATTATAATCATTGAGAATCAACGTGCGGTTTAGAGTCTGTGGCTGCTATAAATGCCCACGTGATAAGCCACTTCGTTGAGCTATCATTTGTGGCCAAGTTGCTTCTGAAAAAGAGCTATATAGCTCAATGGGCCTTACCTGATAAAAAAAAATGTTTAGTTTAGGTTTAACTTGTAAATTTATTTAGTTATTAATTTACAATTAATCGTTTGCTATTTAATAATGGGAGAGACTTATTAAGATTTCCCACCTTGTAAAACGTCCTATTCTACTAAGGGTATGCCTAATTGAGAATAATGAGCTTCACGTAATTCATGTAACTAAGGCAGTTGCACATTGATAATTGTTTGAAGGACCTGTTAACCGTTTTAGATAAATGTGTAAACCCTTTTTTAACCATTTGAGAGTTTAAGATTAATGATCGTGTAAAGTTTTTCGTTCAGCAATAAGAGTGCATTGAGATTGATTGTACAATAGTTTCCTTTATTTGACCAGAGGAGAACCAATTAATGTCATTTATTTACTCGCTTGCGAGTCTTAAGAATAAAGTTTATAATTGTCAATCCTCTGCTGGATGAAAGCCTTTGCCATGCCTTTTTGTCATGGGGGTTGTTTAACCATACTTTACTTACTGGTCAATCCCGGATGGTGAAGGGAGTGCTCAGGACCAATTCGGATACCACTCGCTGCTGATGTTAGCCATCATTTGTGTTTTGAATTCCATTCACTGGGTTCATAGCTTAGTGCATTAAATACTGCACCACCGTCTAAGTAAAGTGCTTAGACGGTGGTGCACATAAGCGCCTCATTTAATGTGCATTAACTTATATTTACGCGATCTAACCCAACAGACCCCTCTTATGGATAATATTGGTCGCTAAAGCCTACGTGTGAAACTGAATAAACTTGCAATATTATTTATTCATTTACAAGAGTTCATTAAGATTTATTGACTTAAATGTTGTAGTTTAGCTATAACAGAATCACTTTGAGGTTTTGTAATATGCTTAGGTAATCAGGTGAAAGTATATCGATAATTATAAAAAAATCCATCCACTATTCTAAAGCCTCTTTAAGACATTGATATCTATTGTAGAGCCGAACAGAGATACATACATTCACTTGAAACACTCTTTAGCCATATGACAGCCTCATTCGTCAAACAACTGAACTTTATTTCATATAGCACCCTTCAGAATACAATCGTCACCGTGCGCTGCACAAGGAAACGTAACATTATTAACATCATTACAATTTGAGATACACAATAGTAAAAAGTATTTAAACGTTTAAATGTGTAAAATACATTATAAGATACATATTTGGCCTCATTTTAAAAACCGAAACATCTTATCAAGACGGTGTTCATGGTGCACTCCACATGAATACAACTAGCACGCTCTACCATGAGCACCCAACACGCTGTACCATGAACACCTAACACGCTGTACCATGAACACCTAACACGCTGTACCATGAACACCTAACACGCTGTACCATGAACACCCAACACGCTGTACCATGAACACCCAACACGCTGTACCATGAACACCCAACACGCTGTACCATGAACACCTAACACGCTGTACCATGAACACCCAACACGCTGTACCATGAACACCCAACACGCTGTACCATGAACACCCAACACGCTGTACCATGAACACCTAACACGCTGTACCATGAACACCTAACACGCTGTACCATGAACACCTAACACGCTGTACCATGAACACCCAACACGCTGTACCATGAACACCCAACACGCTGTACCATGAACACCTAACACGCTGTACCATGAACACCCAACACGCTGTACCATGAACACCCAACACGCTGTACCATGAACACCCAACACGCTGTACCATGAACACCTAACACGCTGTACCATGAACACCCAACACGCTGTACCATGAACACCCAACACGCTGTACCATGAACACCTAACACGCTGTACCATGAACACCTAACACGCTGTACCATGAATACCTAACACGCTGTACCATGAATACCCAACACGCTGTACCATGAACACCCAACACGCTGTACCATGAACACCCAACACGCTGTACCATGAACACCTAACACGCTGTACCATGAACACCCAACACGCTGTACCATGAACACCTAACACGCTGTACCATGAACACCTAACACGCTGTACCATGAACACCCAACACGCTGTACCATGAACACCTAACACGCTGTACCATGAACACCTAACAGGCTGTACCATGAACACCTAACACGCTGTACCATGAACACCTAACACGCTGTACCATGAACACCTAACACGCTGTACCATGAACACCCAACACGCTGTACCATGAACACCCAACACGCTGTACCATGAACACCCAACATGCTGTACCATGAACACCCAACACGCTGTACCATGAACACCCAACACGCTGTAACATGAACACCCAACACGCTGTAGCATGAACACCCAACACGCTGTACCATGAACACCCAACACGCTGTACCATGAACACCCAACACGCTGTACCATGAACACCCAACACGCTGTACCATAAACACCCAACGCGCTGTACCATGAACACCCAACACGCTGTACCATGAACACCCTACACGCATAAACTGCACTGAGAATCCTGATGCTCGGAGGACGAACACAAGCCTAGGATATGAAACCATAAACCTGGACTACGTTTACACATTCATGAGAAAGTATTTTGGATTAAGGTTTTATTTTATTTATGTAACCATCGGCGAGCACATTCTCTTGTAGTGGTCTTCTGACTATGGAAGGACACATTGAGAGATTATCTTTGAATGAGATGTACTATATTTGACCATGTCCGACCACAGTGATTGTTTTCCAGGTCTCGTTTGCAAATTTTATTCCCTTTTATATTCTGGGGTACCTATTGTATTGTATAGAAATGTGTTGCCTGCTATCCTGATGACAGGACAATGGAATAATATATGTAAGGAAGCCCTGGGTAGTGATGTCGGCGCATTCATTTGTAAAACATTTTGTTTACGTGTATTCTTTAAAAAAATGGGATTTCAACTTCTATGACACGACCAACCTTGCAATTTTACTATAGGAATTAGTAATTAGCTATAGAAAAAACTGAGCTGCTGACTATGCACACTAACTCGGTGTGTTTAATTGAAATACTTGTAAAGCCCCATAGGCCACATCTTCACACCATCCATCATTCCGTGTTTGGCAGTTTTGCTCCTCAAACTTTGCTGATGTCATGATATATAGCACACTACACAGCGTGTAGATTAAACCTCTTTTATCTATCACAATGATTGCATGGACTGCCGTTACTTCACACCGGGTCTGTTCACAGCAGAATTAGGGCAGCATCCCTTTGCCTTTGGGAAATGGTACGATCCACATTCCATGTGTATCTGTCACGCCCCTGTTGCACACCTCAATACTCTTGAGCCGTTAAGCCTTTGGCTACAATAACGCGACAGGCTATGAAGGCAGGTGTGCGAGTTTTATGGTAATCTCCGAGTTTATCAGATTTTTGTTCAATCTTTTACATAGAGGTGAAGTCGTGGCACAGTAATGACACTGCACGTGTTTGGTCATGGCTAACATCAATGGCGAGTGACATCTGAACCAGTGATTAGTTCCCTGTCCCGTTCATAAATCTACACTGACCAGCTTGGTGAAGTATGGTCAAAACAACCTCAATGGCCAGCATGGCATGTGAGGAGGCTTTATCCCTGTGTTATGACAAAGGGCTGTTGATGCTAATAATAATGAATACAATTTACAAATAGGGCCTTCCTACAGATGCCTAAGCAACAGAAATGTATAGAAATATATTTGTAAATCATCCACTCAGTGTACGAAGTAAAAGTAACGTTGCAGTATTTTGCTCTGCTTGGTTAACGTGTGGTAAAACAGACACACTGACCATTATCCTGGCTGTGGTGAGTTGCTCTTGAGGTTAAACAATAAATTAGACATTGGCTGCTCCCCAAGCAATTCCATGTGCTCAATCGCACCCCCAACCAAACCACACGCTCAAGTGTACCGCAACACTCCTGACAGCAATCACGTTGCCGCATCAGTATGTGGGCCGCTACATAGTTATCTGTATACGACTTGCTGTTTTGCAGCGTGGGCAGCTTTTTGGGGGATACCAACTAATGATATAATCGAATACAATAACAACATGAAAATAGTACCGTATCTTTAAACGTGAGTTTGAAGAGGCGGTGCGTGCATCTGCTAGTGTTGAGCAGTAAGCCAGAAGTGTCCCCAACCCAATCCTATGGGGCCTCCTTTATGGGCCACCTCATACCTTCCCCTCTCCAGCCCCCACTTCTTTTGTCCCCACCAGTTGGACTGCTTATAGAAAGACCATCCTGGACAGCTGGGCCCCCAGCTTAACTTCCGCACTGAAGAACGCCGCTCTCTCTGGTGATCTGCCCATCATGGGGTCTTGCGGGCTGGATTTGGGCAGCAGCAGTAGCACAGTAACAACCATTCTTTTCATACTGTATAGTGTTAACAGAACCTTCTGTGATGGCTCACTGCCAATATGCCTTTTCCCGTGTGGAGATCGGCTGTGGATCGTATTCAACATAAACTACATGTGCCGAGCCAGCAATTGCACACAGTTGGTATTGTAGTTTTGCAAAATTCATTGCCCGAGTCTTTAGTCTGTTGTAGCAGATAGACCGTGATGTGCCATTCGCTACTGTGCGATTATTACACACGTGAGTTTGTAGGTGTTGGGTACGCAAGAGTTAAGTGCGTATGACGTTTTTAACTTGTCTTCTGGAATGTGTTCATAAGGTAAGCCAAGATACTTGCACAATTTAAAAATGTTATCTATGTAATTACTGCTCATTTAATATTGTTGTGTTTATATTATAAATATTGAAAGTTCAAAACCCAAACGTATTTTAGAAAATTATTTCTCGAAAAGCCTTTGGCTTTTTAGCACATTTTGTATTTTTGTTGGCTTCTATACAGTGCTTCCTGTTTAATGCCATAATATTTTGAGTTTTTTAACTTCCAAAGTTTAACTTACTAGAACAGTGTGCTCCATTCTATAATTTCACACCGGAGCATTGAACATGGCCCTACTATTGAGAGCAACCTTTCACTTTTATGCAAAATGCATAAAATGTTTGTGTTTCATGTTTTTTCGGCCACTTAACAATGGCTACTTTGAGTCCTGATTTTTTTAATTTAACAGCTGTTCTGCAACCCTGAAACTAATTGCATATATGCTTTATAAGAATTTCAAAAAAAGGTTTATTACGTGGCAATTGAGTCAAATCGTGAATTGCTAAATAAACCAATGCATTTTTCATCTTTATTTGTGTGCAGTCGAAAGTCCAATCTCTTTGACAACTGCACAAACGATGATTGCACGCAGTTTCGAATGCATATGCGGTATAATAATGAGCTCCTTATTTGAACAGAGGGCGAGGGTATATTTTCTTTCACGGAACACACAATTTTTAGTTTTTTCTTATTGCTCTAGATGTTGTGACAGAGTTACCCTCCTGAATCAGACTTCTGAGTGTTCGTGGTTGAGATAAATAGCCCCAGTGTGTGAGCTGGGATTTTGTTGTTGCTCATTGTGTGGCTCGTATCCCCTGGCTTCATCAGATACCATGTGATGGGGCGAATTCTCTGTTCCCCCCAGCTGAGTTGGGACACCCTCTCCGGTTACAGCCAGGGCTGTGTATTTCGCGTGCACTGATCTTTGTTTCAGATGTTGGACGCACCAATAATCAGTGCAGTGTGTTTCTCGCGAGTTTGACCAAGCCATTCAATTAGACAGTGTACAAGAATGTATTTGTCGCAGAGTTGATTTCATATTATTGTCTCTGGTTATGATATTTTTTGTGTTATGCTTAAATTAACAAGGTAAGTAATGTTTTCAGAATTAATTGAAAACAAACTAGTTTTTCAAGTAATGGTTTTAAAACACAAGTTAAATTAATACATTTTGTATAGGTTTTTTTATCGAAAACAACACATTTACATAATTGTGAGAATAATTCTGGTTGCTGCTGTAATCTTCTTAAGCTACTGAATATTTTAAATGTGTCTCGGTTGCAGCAGATGTCACTGACAGGCTCAGCTGTGCCTGATACTAATGGTTGATCTCTGCACGTCTATGTACATCTGGTTTAGGTTCTCTGACGTTCGAAACAAAGGAAGTTATCCAAATACCGGGACAAGAGCCAAACAGACAGGAGCAAAGTATGTCCGCAGAGAGAAAAGCTTCTTTAAAAAAATAAAGTCGGCTCTACCAGACCATCCATGTCCCGGAGTCTCTGAAAGCCTGAGCTGTGCGATTCTGCCCAGGTATGCAAAGCAAGTCGTCGACGCAGACGGTGTTTGTGTTGCATCACGTTTCTTGTTTCACGGCATGTCCGAACAAATTTCAGAACTTGCGAGACGCTCTTAGAGCAGCTGCTTTTCCCGGGAGGTGTGCCATGCTTCCTTACGCCAGATGAGAGAGAGAGAGCATGCCCGTTGCCTTTGCAGGAGTGTTCCGGTGCAGCTCGGCGTCTCTGCTTGGTGAGCGAAGAACTTCGTTCTCGAATCGGAACTCCAGTTCAACCCGCGCCCGGCTAAAAGACGACATTACCCTGCAGGCGCTCTCGTCGCAACCGTTGAAGCGAAAAGAAGTCTCCTCGTTGTGACGAAGGCAAGAGAATAGTCGACTGCAAACGTGGAGATGAATGGACTCAACAGCCCTGGAGGCCCCAAGAGCCGCCCAGGCCTCTCGGACATGGCCACGTACCAGCAGTGGCTTGCCAGCCGTCACGAAGCCACCCTCATCCCCATGAAGGAGGACCTCGCCATGTGGCTCACCGAGATTCTGGGTGAGTAATGCCCTTTAAAGCACCGCGCCTCCGATCAGCACGGTTGACTAAGTACAGTGCAAACGAAGTTCAACATGCATACGTACGTGTGCCTGTTGTCATAGGCATGAAAATTATAATGAGGCCTACTGGTTACATTGTCCTCGAGGGATATCAACAATGGATGTCATTAAGCCAAGTTGACCATGTAAGGAAAAGTAGCTCTAAGATTTTTGTTGATGGACTTTGATGATTACAGTATAGTCATTAAGTGTATTGCGATTTATGGAAAGTAAGTGCAGATTTAAATGTGTACAGGCACTAGCACTTAATGCATACACGTATAGATATTCAATCTCTGGAGTAATTACACAAATTATAAACAAGACCTACATTTGTGAAATCTTAACCTTTTTTGCCTCAACAATCAATTATGATTTCAAAACAATGCTTATCCACATAATCATTATTTCTCTCGCTGATCACTCAAGATGGCTACAATCATCAAAATTAATGTTCATTTGCAATTTTCCTTGATCGGTGGAATTTCATTTTTAGAATATACTCTCACTTGAGGAAGAATAGTTACTTCTCAACCTTGAAGTGTGTGCTCAAGTATTTTTTTTTACAGTATTGATGTGGTTTATTCCTTTCCATTTGCAGTATTATTTTTAAGATGGTAAGTTGACGTTTTAAAAGTTTTTGGCTGAGTCCAGGAGGGTTTTGCAAGAGCCTAGGGTGATATGTTGAGTGTTGCACTTGAGTTGTGTCATTGTCAAATATGTAACGTAAGCCCCAACATCTGCATTAATTTATTTATATTTGAAATTCTTTTATGCGGAGGGATTTTAAACACTGCCTAAATTTATGATCTCTGCAAGCCATTTCTCACATTTACCGGCTGTACGTAAAGATGTAAAGGGAGTACTGCATGTGCCTGTACATGTGTGTGTGTACATGTGCATGAATGTTTGTGTGCTCATCAGCGTATGTGAATAGGAATTCCCTTATGGGAGGCTTGTGGGGCTGCATGTGTAAGATTCATAATTTTGAAAACCCCTTGTCTTCAGTTGGGTTTCACTGCCCTACATTTGAAGAGGCTGTTGCCGACTCGTTTTCCACTTGAACATAGTGTCTGTGTTTAAATAACATCTTGTAACTGTTCACAAGAGCTTCAATTCTAGGTATGCTGTTTAACATGAAGATATTAAGTCTATAAACTCAATATGACTAATACCATCGGCAGTCAATTTTTTTTCTTGTTTGGAAGATAGTGCGATTCTGAATGTTATTTAAAATAGTTATTGCTGTTAATTCTATCATAATTGTCAGAATGAATTTACATTGTGCAGTTCACGGTTTAATTGCTTGTAATTTTTAAACAGTTATGCATAGGAAGCGGTATTCCCAATTGGGTTAGGAGCATGTGTTAAATGTTAGACTTGGCAAGGTGCCTGACAAGGGCTGTGGAGCGAAACAGACCACTGCAACACAGCATTTCAGCATGCTCAGCTCTCCGTGCCTCAATCACTTTGGTTGAATAAATGTGCACCTTATGTACAACACTGCTTTTTTCCCATCCCTGCTGATTACTGCCATTTGAAATCCCTACAAGTCGTACATTAATTGCACGTAAAATTTTCTCAATAACCTGCTTCGCTTCGACACATTTTGAAAAAGTTGTTGTGACCGATTTTGGGTTTTATATCGAAACAACACAACCACCCTGAACCTTAGCTGAGTTGACACTGTAAAAATTTTGCGTTTATAAAAAATAGAAAAGTTAATCAAAAAACGTTTCGTGTAATACTTATTTCGACCTTTCATTTAAGCGTTAATCGTAACCATAATTAGATAGTTATAGCAATGAACAGCTTTGGTATTGCATGACCGTAGAGTCTCTTTCACTTGTAGTTCTATGCCAAAGGCGCTTTTTACAATGGCAGCACAATTAGTTTTTCCGCTGGACCTCCAAAAAATATATATTTACATCACCATGTCCCCCAACTCACGGAAATGGGAGCCTCTGTGGAATTCCTTTGACCTTGGTGATAACGTATGCTGTTGCTGGTCCATGATAATAGCTAGGAGTTATATACATTCCGTTCGTTTGTCGTATTTTTAAATTACATTTTTTATCCTTTTTTTACGCAGGTACGGAAATCCGCGCGGAGACATTCATGGAGCAGATTGACAACGGCGTCCTTCTCTGCCGCCTTGGGAGCATCCTGCAGGCAAAGGCTAAGGAGAACAACTATGCAGACAATGTCACTAAGGTGGGTTAAGCAGTTTTAATTTACAACCCGGTTAGCACCCATACAAGTGCACAAAGAAACGTGGAAAGACGCCGCTTGGAATTACTCTGACTGCAAAGTTGAATACGTGGATCAAGGAACAGACACAATTCTAAGATGCAGCATCTTGAAGACAAACTATTAATGGGCTTGAGCATTGCGCATCATTTGACGGGATTATTGGGCGAATGATTGAAACTGGCGATGGAATGGTAGCCAAAGGAGGTAACATGGGCGATGGACCAGACTTAATGGAAAGGTAGCACCTTTGAGAGAACATGCCTTGGAGGACAACCAACAATGTAGATAATAAGAGTGGTGAGATCAATTGATCTGCAAGAGCGAGATGAATTGTGATTTTGCGAACCATGTTGGATGGTGATGGTGTGGTGAGCCCTTTATCCAGCAGTGGGTAGCTCATGGTGAAGATGTTGAGATCCCATTGAGACCCCATTGAGACTATAAGTCCCTTTCAAGGGAGAACTGTTACAGAAGTATTTAATGCAGTCATTAGTTTTTTCTTTGCTGTTTTTGGTGGCACTGTTGGTGGTTTGGCTTATTTGTGCATTGTCCACTTACTATTAATGAAAGAATAGCGGAGAGATTGTTTTAAGGGTAAATTTGCACTACTTCTGGGTTATTCCTATTATTCACAAAAAAGTGCAGATATTCGCACAGATAATGGGATCGATGGATTAATTTGGGGGCATGGGGTAATAGGAAGTGCATAGAATAGGAAGGTGAATAGGTTGGTTTCACATTAAGGTTAAGCAGATGGGCAATGATCAGAAGTGTTTGCGTTCAGATTTTCCACGCAATTAATGCAGTTGACTGTAGGAAGCTGCACAGAACACAGGCCAAGGCATGCAGCATCAGAGCAATCGCATTCGCTGGGTTTCCATCAATAAATAGTTGAAGACAATGTATTTGGATCCAAATTACCCAGGTTTTATTCTAATACTTTTCCGAAACTGAATTGCTTTGCTTTGCTTTAACAACCATTCCTGGCCTATTTGTATTGTGATTAACACGTTGTTTTTACAGTGACTTACTGTAATTGGATGGAATCTGCCAATTGTAGCTTATTTTGACTAAATCACTGCATGCTCAGGCCATTTCCACAACATATAAAGTGCGTAATATACGTAAACATTCTTATTCTGTTTGCGTGTAGAATATTGTTTTTGGAAAGACATTTATTTTCATTGCATTTATTTTTTCCGAATAATTCGTATTTATATAAATAGCAGTTATTTGAACGAAACGCGAATTGGAAACTTGCTTTGTGTCCATTCACCTGCTGCCTGCATAGTTGGCTAAAGTACGGTGCAATAGAAGTTCAGCATACATATGTAGTGGGTTCACGGGACACGGAGACGGTGGAGTAGAGGCAGCACTGTTTATTCAACTTAAGGGTTACACTGGAAGGGGTAATGGCCCGTTCACCCGTATATACGCTGGGACACCCCCTAGGCTATCTAGCCTAATTCCTGTGCTCCCAGTTCCTCCAGCTACAGGCGCTAGTGGAGGCTATCTGATCTGGCCCTGGTCAAGCACAGATCACGGCACCCCACCAACCAGACGGACCCTTAAAAGGGCTCTGGCTCTGAGGCTCTGGGGCCGCACCACTGGCTTACCCTGCCGGCCCTCAAAAGGACAAGCGTCAGGGAAGTCCCAGGGTCTATCTAGCTGGCCTTCCTTCTTCACTGGTTCTTTATTCTTGGCCCCAACACACTGCTCCGAGCTCTCTGGCTCCCCGCCCTTTATACACATACACCACTGAGGGCGGGGCTATAGCGGACGTGGTTGTAGCCACCAAGGTGTGGCTGTGTGTTACCTTCCCACACTGTGTTTCCTTTCCGCAACACCCCTACATCACCCCCTCCTGTACAGTCCGCAGCCGTCCCGGCTGCAACAATATTGAACAATAACAACGCAACAAAACCCCAACCGTGCGTGCCTCATAACAACCAAACGCCCCAATAAATAACCCAACCCACCTTTACAAAGATACACTATATACAGCATATACATTTCCCCCTCCCCCCCCCGCATTCAACCCGAGCCACCCGTCAACGCAGCAAAAGGAGACGTAAAAGGTGAGTAGAACAGTATGAACAGAACAAGTGCAACCAGAAGGCAACATTACAAAAACCGGCGCGTTTTGGCGCGAGTCCGTTTTGCGGGTCCATCGTAGGTGGGGAAACCGGTCGGGCTGGCGGTGGGCGCTGTCCGTTCGGGTGCGTAACCCTCCGGCATCCCGGGAGGACAATCTCTGTCCCCGCCGGGTGGCGCAGGCGGCTGGAAAGCCGTCATTCTCGAGGCACCTGAAGATGGAACAGTTAGTGGCATATCAGGGGCAGGCGGCGAAAGTCGCCGTCCGGGAGTCAGCGGACACATCACATGCTCGGCCTGTTTAATGTGGTGGAGGAACGCGCGGTACCACAAACGGCTTCAGGCGCGAGGGGTGTACATACCAACGACGTTTCCCCCACTGAATATGAAGGCACTGTGGCCGCATGACCTGCACTATTTCCACAGGACCCCTCCATGGCCGCAACAATTTCGCCGAGGTTGCCAACGGTACTTGATGGCAGTGCAGCCAGGCTCTGTCACCCGATCTCCACGCATGTGTGCGTGACTGGCGCGATCGCAACCTCTCGTTAGCCTTCTGTCGGGAATTAGAGTTTTGGGCAGCTGCCTCTCGCGCCTCGGTCAACCTCAGGATATTAAATTTGACGTGGTCGGCCAATTTCGATTTTTCGTTTGGTTTGGAGACCCGCAGCTGAGTCTCAATAGGTGGATCAACATCGCGACCGTACATTAGAAAGAACGGCGAGAATTCGGTCGCCGCGTGAGGAGCCATTCTGTAGGCAGCCAAAACCCCCGCTATCTGAAGGTCCCAATCGGTCTGGGAGTCACACACTTGGTGACACAACATGGACGTGAGGGTCCTATGAAGGCGGGTGATAGGGGGAAGTACGGATTTTATTTTGTACCGAGGAGCGCACACGCCTCGTGCAAAAGGACTCCAGAGACGTTTTTCCCTTGGTCAATCAGCAGCCGTTCGGGAGCACCTTTGTCGAGGACATAGCCCTGGACAAAGGCCTCGGCGATGGCTGCTCTGACTGGTTGGCGAGGGGCCATGCCATAGGCCATCGAGTAAAGTATTCTATGCCAACCAGCAGGTACTTATTACGCCTAGGGGTCGCAGGGAAGGGCCCCAATATATCGAGTGCGACGAGTTCATTAACTCAAGAGACCGTAATAGATTGTATCGGCGGACAGGCGCCCCTCGCTGATGGCTTCCGTTGGGCGCACTGAGTACATGCACCCATGAGGTAATCCACATCTCTTGCCATGCCCGGCCAGAAGAAATCCAGCTGGAGCATGGCAAGGGTCTTGTGGGTCCCTAGGTGCAAAAGTCGCTCGTGAGCAGCCCACACGGCCTTACCCCGCAGAGCAGAAGGCACCACCAGCCTGTGACGGCGGGCCTTCCCATCCCAATGCATAAGGAGCCCCTGGTGCAGCCCGAACGAATCAACCCTCGTCACCCCCCTCATGGAACCCCCTGCGCGACGACGCAACGCGAGTAGGGACGCGTCCTCCATCTGGAGGTGCCCCCATTCCGTAACAGACAATCCCAGCAAGGAGTTCTCTCCCCCCTGCTCGATAGGACCCGCAGACAAAGGGTCCTCGGTGGCGGCAGCATGAATCGGAACATTTAAAGCGGGGCTGTCATCTGGCGGCTTACAACGCCCCGATCCCATGAGACAAGCGCAATCTGAGGCGGGTGGCAGGCGAGACAGCGCGTCCGCATTAGTGTGTCGAACACCCTTCCGATATGTGGTTGTGAAATCATAGTCCTGAAGAACCTCAAGCCATCGAGACAATTGTCCCGAAGGCTGTTCCACCCGCAAGGCATATTGCAATGCCGCATGGTCTGTACGGACGGTGAAGTGCCGTCCGTACAGATATGGCCAATATTGTATAAAAAATACAGTGGCTAAACAGTTCCCGACGGGTGACGCAGTATCTCTGCTCCGCCGGAGACAAGACCCTACTGCCGTAAGCCACAACGCGCTCCACACCACCGACAACCTGTGAGAGCACACCCCCAATATCCGTATTGCTGGTGTCCGTATCGAGCAGGAAGGGTTCGGAAAAATCGGGGTAGCTCAATGGTGGGGGGCCCCCACGAGAGCGTCGCGAAGGGAACGGAAAGCGATCTCCTCGACCTGGCCCCAGTGAAATTTCACTCCCTTTTGCCGTCAGGGTATGTAAAGGTTTAGCAATGGTCGCGAAGTCCGCAGCGAACAGCCGGTAATAAGATGCGAACCCAATGAAACTCCTGACCTCAGCCATCAAGGTTGGGGTCGGCCAGGAGCTGACACACTGCGTTTTTGCGGGATCGGTGGATTTGCCCGATCGGCTGACGATGTGCCCTAAATGCCGCACGGATTCTTGGAGCAAGTGGCACTTCTGGGGTTTGAATTTTTAATTTGCAGCGCGCATTTTGAGGAACACGGCGCGCAATCTCAAAAGGTGTTCGTCAAACGTTTTGCTAAATACAATTACATCGCCCAGATAGATCAGACAAACGTCCCATTGTAAGCCAGCCAAAACCAGTTCCATAAGGTGCTGAAATGTTGCCGGAGCGGAGTGTAATCCCATAGGCAACCGGTTAAATTGAAGTAGGCCGTGTGGTGTACGGAATGCAGTCTTTGATCTGGACTCGTCATCTAATGGAAGTTGCCAGAATCCTGACAACAAGTCCAATGTGGAGAAAAATCGTGCCCCTGCTAGAGCATCCAGAGATTCGTCCATTCGGGGGAGTGGATAGGCATCGGCCACCGAGATTTTATTTAGGCGACGAAAATCCACACAAAATCTCAAAGACCCCATCGTGCTTTTTGACAAGCACTATGGGTGCCCCCCATGGACTGGTGGAAGGAGATAAAATTTCCGCAGCCAACATGTCGTCCACAGCCGTTTTAACATGATCTTTTTCGGCAGGGCTCAACCGAAAAGGATTCTGACGTACCGGGGCATTTGCACCCGTGTCGATGTGGTGTCGCAGCAAATTCGTGCACCCAATATCATATTTGTGCTTGCTAAAGACGTCAGCGAATTCAATCAAAAGGTTCCGTAATCCGGCACGCTGGGAGTCGGATAGATCGTTCGTTCCGGAACACAGTGCATCCATCCAACTAACGTCCTCAATGGAACATGGCCGAGTTGGAGGATCGGTCCCCACATGTCCCATAACCGTTTCTTCTACGGGTACCGGCGTCGCGTGTGCAAGCACGGTCCCCTGAGGAACCACAGCCGTCTGCACCCCGACATTAAGGACCATGATGAAAGGGTCATCGCTCCCCTTCACAATCGTTTGAGCGGCCACCAAATCCAGCCCGTTTTCCCAGCCTTTGAGGGCCCTAACAGAACGCCGTGGTCCGAAACACCCGGCGCAAAAGGTCGACGCAACCGAAGAGGTACGAGCATTTGCGCACCTGGTGGCACACGCACAGTACGAGTGACGGGGGAAGGCAGGAACGTTATACGTTGGCCCGAAGGGAGCTCAATGCATCCCTGGTCAATCAATATTTTAATCGGCATTTTGGCCAAAAAGTCTGTCCCCAACAAGCACGGAACCGCCAGCGAGGATGAGACTGATATTGGCCCAGATAATTTGATATCCCCAATGCAAATTTGTGCTCGGATTTGGCCTATGATACCCAACGAACCCCCGTTTGCTGTGTAACACGGAACGTCGACTGGCAGCAAGGGGCGGCTCTGAACGGGAAGGATATTATAGATCAAATTCGACACAATAGTTGCCGATGCCCCCGTATCGACAAGGACACGCACCTCAACCCCATCATTACGACCCGCAACAACGGACGAACCCGCCGACGCAGCAACAACTCGGTGAGCCAATTCAGACCACTGACCCGGCCCGAGCGTCTTCTCGACCCCGCCGCAACCCGACGAACCGGCGGCCGTGCCACGAGATCCGTACATCGAAGCACGTGAGATAGTGACAGGTGTGTGCACAGGCCGAGCATGTGGGGTGCCGCGACTTGCCGGAGTTTGATGCGAAGGCTTGTAGACTGGAGCGCCGTCCGGCCGGGGTCCTGGCGGTCGCACCCGCCGTCTTGGGTTGCTCCTGGTGGCTCGATGTCGTTCGAGCCGGCCTCTTTCCGGATCTCCACTCTGCAGGGCGACCCACAGCGAAGATCTCCTCGGACGAGGGGATGGTTGACGTCCCAGCGCACACCGCAGCTGCACCGTTGGAGCCGAGAGGTGGTCGGCGTTGTGACAACAGATGTACGTGTATGTTCCTTGTTGCCCGCAAGGAACACATGTCCGCGTCGTCCGCTGCGATGACAACGATCTGCAGGTCCTGAGCCAGCGCCAGAAGTTTTTCTGTAACCATCGCGTCCACCCCCTCGCAGTCCATGCGCGGGAAAGCCGCTTTTGCAAGGGCCAGGAGAGCCGTGCGATACGCAAGCGGCAACTCTTTCTGGCCCCTGCGCCGCTCGTGGAACAGTTGGCGACAGTCCGATGGCGGCCCGTAGACAGTAGCGAGGACTCGGAGCGCCGACTGCAGTGTAGCGCGCGCCGACTTGGGGGCCGTGATGAGGGTGGGGAGAGCGTCATCGTCCAACGTGGCCGGCAAGGCAAGCAGCGCCTCCTTGTCCTTCCACCTGGACATCTCTTGATGAGCGAGGAAGCGACGTTCAAAGGCCCCCCAGTCGCCCCCGTCGGACACATTCTTTCAACACAGGCAAGCGCTGTTGGAACGATGGCTCCGTTTCCAACAGCCGTTGCACGTTGTTCCCGCCGTTTTCGTCATCACTGGAGGGGATGGGGGTCTCCATCGGCGGTCGCACAGTTGATGACGTTGCGCCTGCCGATTGGTCCTGGCGGCGAACGTCCATCGGTGATGATGTTACGGCCGGTGATTGGCCCCCGCTGTCCACGTGGTGCTGCGGCCCTCCAATCTCCGTAGTAGACACCGCCATGGCGGCGAATCCAAATTCTGGCTGCTGTGTGCTGGCGGGAACGGCTGTTGACCGGCGTTCTTCGCCATGCCGCATCGGCACCCCCAGCCCCGCGCGGTTTATTTCTTCCAGCGTGGATGCCGCGGCGTACAGCAGCTCGGCGAGACGGGAGTGAGCCGCCCGTAACCCGTCCCCTAACAGCGGCCACTCCTCCAGCTGCAGCGGCTGTTGGGACACCTGTGGCATTTCGGGATCGTCGGCCAAGTCCGCTGGCGCTGTCCCAGCAGCCCCAGCAGAGTCGTCTTCCTCCCCAGGTTCTTGTGAGCGGTTTAACCGTCTTGTGTCCATTATAAAGACCACTTTTGACACCAGTTGTAGTGGGTTCACGGGATACGGAAACGGTGGAGTAGAGGCAGCACTGTTTATTCAACTTAACAAGGGTTACACTGGAAGGGGTAACGGCCCCTTCACCCGTATATACGCTGGGACACCCCCTAGGCCATCTAGCCTAATTCCTGTGCTCCCAGTTCCTCCAGCTACAGGCGCTAGAGGAGGCTATCTGATCTGGTCCTGGTCAAGCACAGATCACGGCACCCCACCAACCAGACCGACCCTTATAAGGGCTCCAGCTCTGAGGCTCTGGGGCCGCACCACTGGCTTACCCTGCCGGCCCTCAAAAGGACAGCGGTCAGGGAAGTCCCAGGGTCTATCTAGCTGGCCTTCCTTCTTCACTGGTTCTTAATTCTTGGCCCCAACACACTGCCCCGAGCTCTCTGGCTCCCCGCCCTTTATACACATACACCACTGAGGGCGGGGCTATAGCGGACGTGGTTGTAGCCACCAAGTTGTGGCTGTGTGTTACCTTCCCACAACACCCCTACACATACATACATACAACAAAACATAACGTTTTCAAAATAACCATCGTCAGCTCTGCAGAAATCTGTTCACCCATATATACATTGGAAAATTAGAATTGCATCACTTTCACTTTGTCTATTTTTCCAACCACAAACTTGCCTAATAATTTAGTTAGTTGACACCTTCACTCTAGTTAATTTGGCAGCTATCACACTGCCTTCATCTATCTAAATCGGCCTTGCGAATGCATAACACCAACATTTTGCACGAGTAAGCCAGCAGTATGCACCGTTCGTCCCCTAGCACACGCTGATGACTTCCAGTGATGTGCTCACGTGTGCCAAAAAAAGCCAGTTTCCTTTTCCTCTGCGAGGCTGAGCTGTTTTCGAGTATTTTGTGTTTTCAGCTGTGAACTGCACGCGCGGGAGGATGCATCGCGCATGTCTTTAAAGTGTCATGTCGAACACTGAGTTTAGAATAAGATTCTAAAACCCAATTGACAAAAATGTAATCTTATACTGTGCCCCTCTGAGCTTGCAATGTATTTTGGACATTTGTGTTTATTTAATAATTTCCCCACTTTCACGACCACCACCCCCTATGCCTTGTTTCCATTTTTCCGCCCACCAGCGCTTTCCACGGCGGAAGATCCCCTGCAGAGCCAACGCCCCAGCTGGGACCTTCTTTGCACGGGACAACACGGCTAATTTTCTCGCTTGGTGCCGAGAGGCTGGTGTCGATGAATCCTGCATGTTCGAGTCCGAAGGGCTTGGTATGGCATTAAGCAGAACCTTTTCCATTTCACCTTCCGCACTAAAGGCACAATGACCCCCATTCTCTTAGGTCCCAGTGGGAGTTGAAGGTGCCTGCCGTGGTGTAGCGGTTAGCATAACAGACTTGTGTTCCGAATGTCGCCGGTTACATCTCACGGCAGTGCAGTTGAAACAATGGCGTACGTTTCTTAAATCTCCCCCCCCCCCCCCCCCGCGTCTTTTTCACTCGCCTTGTTTTTCCAATGTTGTGCCATCAGCATTATCAGCATCATGGTATAAGATAAAGTATCCATTCGCAAACTTATGCAGAGCAGTGCATAACTCTGCCTGTTAGAGAGCAGTCTGTGAAAGGAGATATCGAAGTGCTACTTTTGTGATCCCTACAAAGGGCTGCAATTTGCCATACTCCCTGCTAAAGAGAAATGTTCCTTGCATACAGTGAGGGAAAAAAGTATTTGATCCCCTACTGATTTTGTACGTTTTCCCACTGACAAAGAAATGATCAGTCTATAATTTTAATGGTAGGCTTATTTGAACAGTGAGAGACAGAATAACAACAACAAAATCCAGAAAAATGCATGTCAAAAATGTTATAAATTGATTTTGCATTTTAATGAGGGAAATAAGTATTTTACCCCTCTGCAAAACATGACTTCGTACTTGGTGGGAAAACCCTTGTTGGCAATCACAGAGGTCAGACGTTTCTTGTAGTTGGCCACCAGGTTTGCACACATCTCAGGAGGGATTTTGTCCCACTCTTCTTTATACAGGTAACGAGCTGAGATTAGGAGCACACTCTTAAAGGGAGTGCTCCTAATCTCAGCTTGTTACCTTATAAAAGACACCTGTCCACAGAAGCAATCAATCAATCAGATTCCAAACTCTCCACCATGGCCAAGACCAAAGAGTTCTCCAAGGATGTCAGGGACAAGATTGTAGACCTACACAAGGCTGGAATGGGCTACAAGACCATTGCCAAGCAGCTTGGTGAGAAGGTGACAACAGTTGGTGCGATTATTCGCAAATGGAAGAAACACAAAAGAACTGTCAATCTCCCTCGGCCTGGGGCTCCATGCAAGATCTCACCTCGTGGAGTTGCAATGATCATGAGAACGGTGAGGAATCAGCCCAGAACTACACGGGAGGATCTTGTCAATGATCTCAAGGCAGTTGGGACCATAGTCACCAAGAATACAATTGGTAACACACTACGCCGTGAAGGACTGAAATCCTGCAGCGCCCGCAAGGTCCCCCTGCTCAAGAAAGCACATATACATGCCCGTCTGAAGTTTGCCAATGAACATCTGAATGATTCAGAGGACAACTGGGTGAAAGTGTTGTGGTCAGATGAGACCAAAATGGAGCTCTTTGGCATCAACTCAACTCGCCGTGTTTGGAGGAATGCTGACTATGACCCCTAGAACACCATCCCCACCGTCAAATATGGAGGTGGAAACATACTTTGGGGGTGTTTTTCTGCTAAGGGGACAGGACAACTTCACAGCTTCAAAGGGACGATGAACGGGGCCATGTACCGTCAAATCTTGGGTGAGAACCTCCTTCCCTCAGCCAGGGCATTGAAAATGGGTCGTGGATGGGTATTCCAGCATGACAATGACCCAAAACACACGGCCAAGGCAACAAAGGAGTGGCTCAAGAAGAAGCACATTATGGTCCTGGAGTGGCCTAGCCAGTCTCCAGACCTTAATCCCATAGAAAATCTGTGGAGGGAGCTGAAGGTTCGAGTTGCCAAACGTCAGCCTCGAAACCTTAATGACTTGGAGAAGATCTGCAGAGAGGAGTGGGACAAAATCCCTCCTGAGATGTATGCAAACCTGGTGGGCAACTACAAGAAACGTCTGACCTCTGTGATTGCCAGCAAGGGTTTTGCCACCAAGTACTAAGTCATGTTTTGCAGAGGGGTCAAATACTTATTTCCCTCATTAAAATGCAAATCAATTTATAACATTTTTGACGTGTTTTTCTGGATTTTGTTGTTGTTTTTCTGTCTCTCACTGTTCAAATTAACCTACCATTAAAATTATAGACTGATCATTTCTTTGACAGTGGGCAAACGTACAAAATCAGCAGGGGATCAAATACTTTTTTTCCCTCACTGTAGCAGTCAACCCGATACATTTACCCCTCAATGCTGGAATTCATCCAAATTACCTACCAAACTCATTGAATATGATGTGTTTTTTATGCAGTCATTGGTGATCAGGCTGAAACCATAATAAACTCGCCACATGTGACAAACGGTTTAGTCACAGGTGGATGAAACCCAGATATTTACTTATGGTCTCAGAGGTGCTGGCTCAGTGCTCTGACCTTTGAGCCACCTTGCCGCTTCATTAAGAGCCTTTTAATTAATGGTGAGTTAAATCGAATGGAAATATGAGCAGTGCTTTTTGAACATTTATGAGTAAATTTTGATTTAAAGCTTTCGTGACTGCAGTAATTCATATTCTTAGCCCTTTCGGTAAAGTCACGTTGAAGGGAAACAATAAAATAGTAAAATATATATAAAACAATACAAATTCTCACGACGTTTCGACCATAACACAAACGGTCATCATCAGGTGTGAAAAACCAACGGCAAGAAACATTTGAAAGAAGTGTTGGTTTGCATTTATTTATTTTTAAACGGTGTATTTATTTATTAAAAAAACGTTAGCGCCACGCGCAGCGATTTGGCAGTTTATTTAGAAGGACGAGTCCATCTATGTTCTGAAAAGAGGAGGGGGGAGACGAAAAATGTATGTATGCTGTCTGAAAGCCACCGTAAGCGTGAACAATCAATTAAGACCTGAAATGGTTTTTACCATTTCAGCTTTTTAAAACCATTTCAGGTCTTAATTGATTGTTCGTACATTAATTTTTCGTTTCCCCCCTCCTCTTTTCAGAACATAGATGGACTCGTCCTTCTAAATAAACTGCCAAATCGCTGCGCGTGGCGCTAACGTTTTTTTTATAAATAAATACACCGTTTAAAAATAAAGAAATGCAAACCGACACTTCTTTCAAATGTTTCTTGCCGTTGGTTTTCACACCTGATGATGACCGTTTGTGTTATGGTCGAAACGTCGTGAGAATGTTTATTGTTTAATATATATTTTATTCTTTTATTGTTTCCCTTCAACGTGACTTTACTGATAGAGCTAAGAATATACTTTTATGAGTAGTTTTAATTGAATTGTGTTGCAGAATCAGCCATTTTTCATACATCTATCTGCATGGAAGGCATTGTGCATTATGCCGCTTGCAACAGTTTAGCAAAGGTTCTTCATCTGTGCAAGAAGTCTGCAAAATCCGGCTTGCAAGAATTAGGATAACATATAATGTTTTTGAAGTCAACAGAAATTTCCTGATAACTTAGCCAGCAACCCTGCTTGGCTAAATTATCAGGAAGCCAGCGCAGCAACAACCTTTTTATTGGAAGCAGCCATAGCAATGTGACAGGTTTGTGGCATGAGTGGAGAGGGCTGAGTTGCAGTTACCAGCGCCCCTGAAAAAACACTCATATTGCTTAGTCATTGTCTCACAGCGATTGCAGTGCGCATGCAGAGTTGTCCTTGCGATGATGTTGGTGCGAGTGAATATCTTTATTGATACCCTTGGTAAACTGTCACACGCGCTGTGTTGAGAAGGAAATTGCATGCCTGCAGTGCACAGGTCTATGCAGGTCTTTGTTTTTATGAGTTGTTGGTCAATGTGTGACGATGGCCACGTTTTGAATTGCCTATCTATAAAATAGCTGTTGACATTTTTTAATCGGTAAGTTGCTGTGTGCACGCTTGTCAGTGGTTGAGATGTTTATTTTCAGTTAATTTAATCCCCTGTGAGATTGGCCCACATTAATTATCTTCATTTTTAGTGGAGTAGATTTGTCGGCCATCTGGTTGTTATTTTTTTAATTCTTTTGGATGGAAAACAGGGATCGTCCTCTTGCTTCTTTGTTGCCATATTAAGTTCTGCCCACGCGATCATGTGTGCCGACACAAAGGACACCGCTTGTCAAGCGTGAACGCAGCTTTGATTTAAGAATGTGAACTCGAGCCGCTAGTGCAAAGCAGTGATAAAAGTAGTCCATATAACTGTCCATTCAGCCGTGGGCACTATTTGTTTACGTTTTTTTTGCATGTTTTTCCGAGTTATAAGGATACATTTTATATTGCAGTATTGTGCAATGCCAATGAAAGGCCCGTTATGTATTGAGGGCAGGTTAACCCTAAGCCACGGCCTTTTGGTAACTCTATCATCTGTGTCATCGAGTGGGAGCATTCACAGCAGGATTAGTGTTTCGAACTTGGTGATATTTGGTTAGACCTGGACTGGAAAAAGACGGTGCCCTGCTCCACTCGTCTGGAGCGCGTGATAATATTAGTGCAAGGCAGCAGCTCTTTTACACAAGTGTTTACAAATCGACGAGGACCATGGGGTGTATAGTTTCTGATGTCCTTGCTTCTGCACAGGAAAACAATAATTCACATTTAAAAGTAAATAATAATACATATTTTTTTTTGTTATGATTTCAAAAGTATATTTTGTGGTAATTTATTTTGTTAGAGATGATAATAAAAATAACATTAGCTCAGGGCCTTCATACAATCCAGTCCTCATACTCTACACCTACCAGTCATTGCCATTTCAATGCACATTGAGTGTACTTCTATGTTCCCACGTCGAAGCTCGCCATCACCAACCCGCATTGACCTGTGTGGTGAAGCATGCTCAATTAATCCCTATAACATGCACGGTGTGGAAGAGCCCTCATCCAGAAGTGGATTAGCAAAAGGGCTTTACTTGTGCATTACCCAAGATCATTGTTTAAAATAGATGTATGGTAGGCATGTAACAGTTCATAGAATAAAGTTAATTCTTACACTCGCAATGCACACATAGCATTGCGAGTGTAAAAATTTATTGTTTTCATTTCGCATGAGTTGAATGTGTAATCGTTTTCCGTAAACCCCTTCAGTCACTTCAGGCACTAAATTGAGTGGCAAAAATAAATACATCTTGAATCGAATCACAACTCCGAATCATGACAGTTCGTCGAATTGCAATGGGGACGCATCATTGCAAGGCTAATATCTGGACCGTGTCAGTGGATTAAAATATTCTTGCCAAGTGTGCAAGGTAGAGGGATCGCACGGCATGGTACTGAAATCCCATGGCAGATGTGGCGCTCAACAAGGCAAAGCCTATGGATTTGTTAGTCCACACGCCTCATGAGGCCATGCACCTGTTTGTAATTACCTTCGAAATGCACCGTCTTTTATCGGCACGTCTTGGCATTGAACTCTACCCTCTAGGTCCAATGGTACTAATGAGTACACGCGTGCGTGTTATGGTCAGTGATGACGTCACTCTTTGCTCAGCCTTCCAACAGCTCTGAAATGTAACCTGCCTTGGCATGCGAACAACAGGTGCTTTATTCTATGTTAAATAATAACTTTAATCTTTGCGGGGAATTAAATGTATGACATATCTGTTCGGGTCCCGTACATTCCGTACTTTACTCCAGCCAGTTTCCTGAAGGTCATAGTGACAATCCACGGAGGTGTGGATAGATTTTGCAAGCTACTTGTTTTGTTTGATGGGTCACCAACAAACGAGTGCAGTCAAGGATGTGTTTTAGCTGCTGCAATTCGCTGCAATCATCACAGTACAAGTCCTGCGTCTAGGACTGCCTTCCGTGTGTACGTATGGTGATGTTAAAGTTACGTGGAATAGAGTAGCCTTTTGAGAATATTTGTTTTCCAAATGTTTTTTTTACGATTCAACGAGGCCTTTAAATGAACCTTTAAATGAACGCAACTGTAAAAAAACTACTTATTTTAACTGCAGTGTAGATTGCCTATATTTATTTGTTGTAGCTTATCTGATACAGTGCAGTTTACAACAAAAGTGTCTAAGTTTCGCATATCTTTGTGGAAAAGGACCCTACATGGAGCAGACAGCCTATTGTTTAGAACCCCCCCCCACCCCCCAATTCCCAATGCATTATTCCATTCGAGGTTGAATTTCCAGAAAATCTAAAGTTTGCAGTGTTTCCTGCAGGCTGTTTTGTGCCATCTGATAGTGCAGATTTGCACTCATGATGATAACACCATTGCAAATCGACAAAAGTAGCAATGTGCAGCTGAGACTATAGTATTGTGCCGTTGTAGGTATTAATAGCAATATTTTTCTGTAGATATTGAAGCTCGTGTGACATTTCCCCCATGGTTTGTACCACATCTTTAACTTCGTAAGAGGTGCAATATTTCTCATCTGAGCTGGTATGTGGCATATTTGTTTCTGCCAGGCGGATGACCTAAATACATCAGCTTCTAAAGAGTTTAGTCTCTTGCTCCTGTATGTAAAAATTCATCAAACAAAAGGCAGGTTTTCTAAGTGTCCACAAAAATTATTACGTTTAAGAATATACCTCCAAGTTGAATTCCTGCAGCTAATGTTATTTTTATTTTTTAGATGGCTTTGTGGATCGGAGATTTAACAGGGATCTCAGATATAGTGGGTTTATGGTATTAGCCTGGCCAATGATTGCACGTCAAACTATAATTTGTCGTAAATTTGGATTTTCACTTCACGTGGCTAAATTTCAGCAATGAAATTTAAACCTATCGGGTTGACCGCCCTGTGACAATCTCACGGCAGAGTATATGGTAAAGTATGCGACACCTTTCCTTTAGGATTAAAATACTTCGTGACAATGTGTTTCTCATGTCATGATACAACGGCAGTAGCAACATTGGAATGCATTGGGGGGAATTATTTTAAAGTTATGAAGTAATTTAACGTAACAATAAATTGTGTGTGGTTAATACAGACACACTGACCATTCATATCACTTTAGTCTGTATGTACGTTGAACTTCTCTCGCACCGTATATAGCTAACCGAGGCAATCTGAGGTGCTCCCGAGGCATTAATTGCACGTGCTCAATTGTACTCCCAACCAAGCACATTCGCTGAAGTTGTTTTTTTATGTAGGTCTCCAAAGTAACAACAGATCATTCCATGAAATTTACGCTTCTTTCTTACATCATTATGTCAATAAACTGTGACTGGCATTTGCCACCCAGATGCAGCCACCGTGAGTTATTCCATTGTCTTGAAAAATTGTATAAAAGACCATGGCACGTGCAACTTAATTCAGTTGATTGATTGTTGGGGAAGGATGGCCACCAACCACCTGGTTACACATACTGGAGCTAGCTTCCCTCAGTCATTTCCCATCATTATACCTGCTTAGAGGTACATTTTTTTTGCTTGAGTCATCGTCTATAATGATCACATTGTGTTCCCCTTCTGCAGTGCTACACAAGCAACCTCGCGAGGTTTGCCTTTGTCTTCTCGAGTTGGGACGCATCGCCGCCAGGTACGGAGTACAAACCCTTGCACTCACCGCGTGAGCTTCCACAAGGAATGAATACTCGCCTAAGGAATGCGCTGCAGATGAAAAAGGAAGCAGTTCTGTCTCTCCACAAACAAACACCGTAGTAGAATGCCGTGATAATGCGTAGGGAAATCTGTCCAGACTCGAGACCTTTATTTTTTTCCTTTCACTGTGTCTCTTGCTCAAAAAAAAAATGTGCATCTTTCTCGAAGGAAACCCATGCTCCAAGTGGTCTGTACAGGCTCTTGACAAGTGGTCACATTTAGACGCTGTATAGTTGCTAATTTTATTGTATTTTTAAAGGTGTAGCCAGGTTTTTCAGCGGCAATGCTAAATAACAGTACTTGGCCAATTAGCTTGGTAAACAGGGGCATAGAGTAGGTGTCTGCCTATCCTTTGCCAAGCAAAAAGTCTGATATTTTAACACGGGAGCATTATTTAATGAGCCAACGTGTGCGTTTGCATGATTAATAACAGCAAAACCGGGAGAAATAGAGGTGATTGTTAAGGGATCATTGCATCCTGCACAGCTTATCCTCGTGTTTACACGTGGAACTTTAGGCCCTCTTCCATTAGTGTCCCTTTGACAAGTTGGCATTTCCTTGCCAGGGGATTACTGACACGTTTAATGAGCGTATCACTGATGTCGATAGTAGCTGTACCATCACGCTGGGTGTTTCATGCATAAATTACCTTTTTTTCCTCTCCATCTGACTTACAGTGAGGGAAAAAAGTATTTGATCCCCTGCTGATTTTGTACGTTTGCCCACTGACAAAGAATTGATCAGTCTATAATTTTAATGGTAGGTTTATTTGAGCAGTGAGAGACAGAATAACAAAAAAATCCAGAAAAACGCATGTCAAAAATGTTATAAATTGATTTGCATTTTAACGAGGGAAATAAGTATTTGACCCCTCTACAAAACATGACTTCGTACTTGGTGGCAAAACCCTTGTTGGCAATCACAGAGGTCAGACGTTTCTTGTAGTTGGCCACCAGGTTTGCACACATCTCAGGAGGGATTTTGTCCCACTCTTCTTTGCATATCTTCTCCCAGTCATTAAGGTTTCGAGGCTGACGTTTGATAACTCGAACCTTCAGCTCCCTCCACAGATTTTCTATGGGATTAAGGTCTGGAGACTGGCTAGGCCACTCCAGGACCTTAATGTGCTTCTTCTTGAGCCACTCCTTTGTTATCTTGGCCGTGTGTTTTGGGTCATTGTCATGCTGGAATACCCATCCACGACCCATTTTCAATGCCCTGGCTGAGGGAAGGAGGTTCTCACCCAAGATTTGACGGTACATGGCTCCGTCCATCGTCCCATTGATGCGAAGTTGTCCTGTCCCTTTAGCAGAAAAACACCCCCAAAGCAAAATGTTTTCACCTCCATGTTTGACGGTGGGGATGGTGTTCTTGGAGTCATAGACAGCATTCCTCCTCCTCCAAACACGGCGAGTTGAGTTGATGTCAAAGAGCTCCATTTTGGTCTCATCTGACCACAACACTTTCACCCAGTTGTCCTCTGAATCATTCAGATGTTCATTGGCAAACTTCAGACGGGCATGTATATGTGCTTTCTTGAGCAGGGGGACCTTGCGGGCGCTGCAGGATTTCAGTCCTTCACGGTGTAGTGTGTTACTAATTGTTTTCTTGGTGACTATGGTCCCAGCTGCCTTGAGATCATTGACAAGATCCTCCCGTGTAGTTCTGGGCTGATTCCTCACCGTTCTCATGATCATTGCAACTCCACGAGTTGAGATCTTGCATGGAGCCCCAGGCCGAGGGAGATTGACAGTTCTTTTGTGTTTCTTCCATTTGCGAATAATCGCACCAACTGTTGTCACCTTCTCACCAAGCTGCTTGGCAATGGTCTTGTAGCCCATTCCAGCCTTGTGTAGGTCTACAATCTTGTCCCTGACATCCTTGGAGAGCTCTTTGGTCTTGGCCATGGTGGAGAGTTTGGAATCTGATTGATTGCTTCTGTGGACAGGTGTCTTTTATACAGGTAACAAGCTGAGATTAGGAGCACTCCCTTTAAGAGTGTGTTCATAATCTCAACTCGTTACCTATATAAAAGACACCTGGGAGCCAGAAATCTTTCTGATTGAGAGGGGGTCAAATACTTATTTTCCTCATTAAAATGCAAATCAATTTATAACATTTTTGACATGCGTTTTTCTGGATTTTGTTGTTGTTATTCTGTCTCTCACTGTTCAAATAAACCTACCATTAAAATTATAGACTGATCATTTCTTTGTCAGTGGGCAAACGTACAAAATCAGCAGGGGATCAAATACTTTTTTTCCCTCACTGTATGTCCTTTTTTTATTGGTTTACATTATTCATGGCCAGTGTACATGAGGTTTCAAATCAATAATTGTACAAGCCTACTTTAAGTTTTCTCCAATTTTGAGCTGCAGTTGTGGCTTACTGCTCAGGGATTGCACCTTTTTATATTCCAATTGACATTTGACATTGTCAATATAGGTGGGCGATATTGCATTTACCAGAGCACAGCCCATGTTCAGAATAATTTAAGTCCCTTGTCGTACTGAATGGCAGTGAGGCTGAGAGGCAGCTGAAGACAAAATCTACACTGAACAATGAATGCTGCTGATATGCAGGGAAAGTAGCATCAACATTTTAATATAAATTTTTCTTGAGGGATGTTTGGGTTTCTATGTTTGTAGACAAACTGCCAGTGTTAAGAGTAAATCTTTTATTATGTCTCGGCCACTGGGAATGGCTCTGCTTTCTACCACAGAGAATATGATTTTGAGGCAGCCTGCAGTTAAAGTTTGACCTTTTTAGTGATTCATCTTGCAGTCTTTAGGGATGGGAATGTTCTGGCACCGGAAGGTCTCTGATCAGCATTCCATATATGCTTTATGCTTGCTATCTAGAGCTTGATTATAATACAGCGCTTTGTCAATCCACTGCTTGATGAATGCTTCTCCACACCATGTCAGTCACGGCATTGTATTTTTACCATACTTCATGCTGATTAGCACATGTTGGTGGAGGGTGTCCCAGATCTTACTCGCCACTGGTATTGCTGTGACCAAGAATCAAATGCTACTCATTTATTTAACTTGACTAAGATTACTGATTGCAGTGAGATTGGGTTAAGTTTTTGTTTTTGCATTAAGGGACTCCTGTAATAGTGCAATCGGATTTTACTCAAGTCTGTGGTGTTAATCTACGAACAACTCATTAATACACACATTGATCCAAGTGATATTTTCAACAAGAGGACATCAATTTATATTCCACTGCTAATTCTTTATACTATTTATCAGAGGTGGAACAACACATTGATTAAACAATAATATCGATGCTCATGGTAGCGATCCATTAATTCGATTGCATACGTAAGAAATGTTTTTTTATTTGAATGTTGTATGTAATGGGTTCACGTTACTAGTGACGACTGCATTCACGACAAAGTAAAAAAAAACATTCTTGCGAAGAATTGTGGCCCTGAGTTGGAACAATTAATTTACTTTCTTAGGGGGTGTAATTATTACGCCTGCACTATTTGATTAAGATGATCTTAAAATCTTAATTAAAAATTTTGTGGCATTTAAGTATTTTTTTTTATTCCATTGGTAATATTACATTAAAATAAAAATGTCTAACTATTATTTAAAAGTACTTTGTAACGTTGTTAATTTTTATGACAACATAGCTCGACAGGAACATGTATAAATTTTGACTTAACTTTCGTGACTGCAGGAATTCATATTCTTTGGTTCCTTCGGTAAAGTCACGCAGATAAAAAAAATAAAGTGAATAAAAATAAAAACAATAAAAAAATTAATTATAAAAAACAAAAAAACACTAATGTAGACTGTAGCCTGGTTCTTAATCGGAGTGAGTGTACTGGCAATCTATAATGTAGACTGTAGCCTGGTTATTAAGTTTGGTGAGTGTACTGGTAGTCTATAATATAGACTGTAGCAATGGCTATTAAGCTGGGTGAGTGTACTGGCAGTCTATAATGTAGACTGTAGCCTGGTTCTTAACCTCGGTGAGCGTACTGGCAGTCTATAATGTAGACTGTAGCCTGGTTCTTAACCTCAGTGAGTGTGCTGGCAGTCTTTCATGTAGACTAGCCTGGTTTTTAAGCTGGTGAGCATATTAGCAGTCTGTAATGTAGACTGTGATAACCATTGCTACAGTCTACATTATAGATTGTCAGTACACTCACTCCGATTAAGAACCAGGCTACAGTTTACATTAGTGTGTTTTTTTGTTTATTATTATTTTAATTTTAATCACTTTATTTTTTTATTCACTTAATATTTTATATATACGTGACTTTTCCGAAATAACTAAAGAACAGGAACATGTGTGGTTATTTTTCCTTTTATGTGGCCGGTCTGAGGTTTATATTGGTAGATCACTTGATGAAGGGACCGCTTCACCTCCACTCGACAAGCCACCATGAATAATTCCACGTGTTGTCTTGGCGCTGAGAAATATTGGACCAAAAAGTTCAAGACTGATCATTTCCACTGCCCAGCCAGAGGAGGGAAAGCCAATGAATGATAAAAAGAAAAAAAAAGCATGAATCACTTATACATCATACATGTGCGTTTTCTTCTCGGAGTCTGACCTGTCAAAAGCCCTTTCATGCAAGGGCTTGTAAAATTCACTTTAAATACGGAAAAAAAACACGTAACATCCACCATAGTTGACATGCCGCCACTGCTTTGCTCTGAACTCTATTTGTATTCCTTTCGTGCTCATGGTCCGGAGGCCGTGCGTGCATGTGTATGTGTGCGTCGGGCGTGGTGTTGGCCACCCACCCCCTCCTGTGCCATGCCGGCCTTCAATAGGTGCTCGCGAACAGCACCTTTGTATGCGTGTGCACGATGTGACCACTGTGTCCGCTGTTTACCTGCACAGATTTGGCATCGATCCTCCGGGGCTCATCAAGCTGGAGAAGGAGATCGAGCAGGAGGAGGCGCGGGCGATCGCCCGCTCGTCATCCGGCTCGTCAGCCTCCTCTGCGTCGCCGGCGTCGCCGTGCACCTCGTGCCCGCCATCGCCCTCTTCCTCCTCTTCCGCAACGTTGGCGGTGGCAGCCTCTTCCAGCACACCCACCACACCGCGGGCTCCCAAGGAGAAGAAACAAGTGCGGGACAAGGTCCTGGAATCGGCCGTAAGTTGATTGGAGATGGCATTGGCAGCTAATGCTCCTGTATGTATATGTATGTTGAACTTCTTTCTCACTGGATGTAACCAACCGTGCTTATCAGAGGTGCAGGGATGGAGAACAAATTCCTGGAAGCACGTGGAGACTATTTTGACAATGCACGAGAGGTCATGAGTAGAACCCCACGATGGGTGTTAAATATTCGGACATGTAACGATGCATTGCTTTATTGATTAGAAAATTTTTTATGATCCCGATATATGCACTGAATAGTATACTTTTGATTTACAAATGTTGCAACATATATCTAAATTATGTATTAATGTCACATGCACGCTTACGGAGTGAACACAACTATGCTAAATGAGATATGACGTATAACAAACAATGCTAAGAAGAGAAACATATATATTTTATTATTTTGTTGTTTCTCTTCAACGTGACTTTACCGAAAAAACTAAGAATATGAATTACTGCAGTCACGAAAGCTTTAAATCAAAATTCAATGCTAAGTAGTTTCGATTTAAAGCTTTCGTGACTGCAAGGATTCATCTTCTTTGGTTCTTTCGGTAAAGTCACGTAGAATGAGAATAAAATAATAAATTGATAAAATAAAATAACACAGAATATTATTGTGTTATTTTATTTTATCAATTTATTATTTTATTCTCATTCTACGTGACTTCACCGAAAGAACCAAAGAAAATGCTAAGAAGGTAATGAAAAAGGCCAAAAACTCTCTTCTCTAATCAAATTTTGACCCCTAAATAGTAAGATTTGATCAAATCACTTTGTTCAGCGTGAATCGTTGCATTACTAGAGGGGATACCTGCTTTCAATGCGCAGTGCTTTGGAGCCAAGTAGATTTCAATGTACTGGGCTGCAAGATGACCAGGAGATAGCTGTGCCGCAAGTTGGTTCATGATGTGCAGACTTTTTAATGTTATCTTCTCGTGTACGTGGGCTTTCTCCCAGTGCTCTGCTCTCTTCCTACACAATGCACACTAAAAGAGAAATTACAACATTCTTGAGATGGAATTAAGCTTTGCTGGATACATTTATGGCTTTATTATATGGTATGCCCTCCCCCCCCCCCATGTCCAAATGTGAGAGCAATAGCAGGACCCCTTTCTCCTCATGGTCCCAAGGGCCAAGAGGAGAAAGGGGTCCTACAGTGACTAAGATGATGGGCCATTTATATTCCTTATTATACATATACATTGTCATATGAATGCATTTGTTTCATGTTGAAATTATATACAGTGAGGGAAAAAAAGTATTTGATCCCCTGCTGATTTTGTACGTTTGCCCACTGACAAAGAAATGATCAGTCTATAATTTTAATGGTAGGTTTATTTGAACAGTGAGAGACAGAATAACAACAACAAAATCCAGAAAAACGCATGCCAAAAATGTTATAAATTGATTTGCATTTTAATGAGGGAAATAAGTATTTGACCCCCTCTCAATAAGAAAGATTTCTGGCTCCCAGGTGTCTTTTATACAGGTAACGAGCTGCGATTAGGAGCACTCTTAAAGGGAGTGCTCCTAATCTCAGCTTGTTACCTGCATAAAAGACACCTGTCCACAGAAGCAATCAATCAATCAGATTCCAAACTCTCCACCATGGCCAAGACCAAAGGACTCTCCAAGGATGTCAGGGAAAATTGTAGACCTACACAAGGCTGAAATGGGCTACAAGACCATTGCCAAGCAGCTTGGTGAGAAGGTGACAACAGTTGGTGCGATTATTCGCAAATTGAAGAAACACAAAAGAACTGTCAATCTTCCTCGGCCTGGGGCTCCTTGCAAGATCTCACCTCGTGGAGTTGCAATGATCATGAGAACGCTGAGGAATCAGCCCAGAACTACACGGGAGGATCTTGTCAATGATCTCAAGGCAGCTGAGGCCATAGTCACCGTGAAGGACTGAAATCCTGCAGCGCCCGCAAGGTCCCCCTGCTCAAGAAAGCACATATACATGCCCGTCTGAAGTTTGCTAATGAACATATGAATGATTCAGAGGACAACTGGGTGAAAGTGTTGTGGTCAGATGAGACCAAAATGGAGCTCTTTGGCATCAACTCAACTCGCGGTGTTTGGAGGAGGAGGAATGCTGCCTATGACCCCAAGAACACCATCCCCACCGTCAAACATGGAGGTGGAAACATTATGCTTTGGGGGTGTTTTTCTGCTAAGGGGACAGGACAACTTCACCGCATCAAAGGTACGATGGACAGGGCCATGTACCGTCAAATCTTGGGTGAGAACCTCCTTCCCTCAGCCAAGGCATTTAAAATGGGTCGTGGATGGGTATTCCAGCATGACAATGACCCAAAACACACGGCCAAGGCAACAAAGGAGTGGCTCAAGAAGAAGCATATTAAGGTCCTGGAGTGGCCTAGCCAGTCTCCAGACCTTAATCCCATAGAAAATCTGTGGAGGGAGCTAAAAGTTCGAGTTGCCGAACGTCAGCCTCGAAACCTTAATGACTTGGAGAAGATCTGCAAAGAGGAGTGGGACAAAATCCCTCCTGAGATGTGTGCAAACCTGGTGGCCAACTACAAGAAACGTCTGACCTCTGTGATTGCCAACGAGGGTTTTGCCACCAAGTACTAAGTCATGTTTTGCAGAGGGGTCAAATACTTATTTCCCTCATTATAATGCAAATCAATTTATAACATTTTTGTTGTTATTCTGTCTCTCACTGTTCAAATAAACCTACCATTAAAATTATAGACTGATCATTTCTTTGTCAGTGGGCAAACGTACAAAATCAGCAGGGGATCAAATAATTTTTTCCCTCACTGTAATATTTAATATATTATCCAATGGACCTTTGGGATCAATCTATGCCAGTAGTGTAAAAACAAGTTTAATCCTGGATTAGTTTCAACTTCACTAAGTCTTATCAGCAGGATGTGACCTATTTAACAATGCTACTGGGTAACCAGATGTTATTTACAAAATCCAGCCATATACACTCTTGGACCAAAATTTATCTGTGATTCCACAGGTCCCTGAACACATATTTGCAGTTGTTATTTAAATTATTATATTTATTCATCCATTTTTAGATATCTAACGCTGGACTTCCGTGAACCCTTTAAACTGGTCTGGCCTGATTTGCGAACTGGGCAAGTGGCCTTTACCTGGGTTCCCACAGAATTCTTACCAGGCCACGCGAGCTATCAGCATGGTCCATTGCAAATTGGCCAGCAGGGCCACCCAAATAAACAGTGGTGATATCACAGGGTCAGCGCGGAAGTGACATGCACGTATTCAATAGCTTCTCTCATTTAGATCAGCGTAAAGGACATGGTTTTGGTTTTTTTAACGGATGAGATTACAAAAGCACATGTAAAATATGAGATTTAAAATAAGTAATATTTTTTAAAAACACGCTTTAATGAAATGTACCCTACTAGTAATGGAAGAACTCCACGACTCCAGGAAGTGGCCCCGAAGCTTGCCATAACGTAAGGGACCATGGTGATTTACAGCCAACGTCAGTTGAGCGTGGACAATTAGACCCAAGCCTGAAACATAACATGTAAAAAATATTGTTTAAAAATATTTTTTTATGATAGAATATAGTATTGTCATCAGTATGACATAAGTATACCAAGTTTGCAGTCGATACCACATTGGGAAGTGGGTTAAAATTGAGTTACAAGATTTGAGGATACAACGACAACAGACAGAGTGAGTTAATAGAAAGCGTTGTAAAACCACATGTTAAAAAGTTGTAAACATGTTTACATTCCCTTCCTTCCCACCATTTGTGAAGGCTGGGGGAGGGGAGGTGGTGAGGTGGGTGAGATGGGTCTAAAGGGGAGAGGCCGAGGACCATGGGCACAAGAAACGAGCCCTGTAGGGCCGTACCAAGAATGACCTTGCACGGAATGGGTCTGGCTTCTAATGACTGTGGAAACGCAGCATAAACAATTTGTTTTACAAAACAGCGCATTATGGTTACATTTAATACCCATTATTACATTGTTTGGTGCAGCAGTTGCACAGTGGTTATCGCGCTGCGCGTATGAGCGTTCCTAAGCCGGGCGGTGGTGGTGCATGCCTGTGATCCATCACTGGAATTCAAGGGTTGGTGGATCCCACAAATGTTGTGCGACTCCCTTCTCCCTCGGCATCGAGGTGCCATACCGTGACTCACGAGGAGAAGGCAGCACAGCTAGTAGACTTATCACCATCTGTTTCCATCTTTATGGGGATCGAGCGTTGCCCTACTTACCAGCGTGGATTTTCTCCTGGTTCTCCGGTTTCCTCTCGCTTGTAAACACACTAATTTATTGGCAGAAAACATTAAAATGAAAAAGAATATACGCAGAACCCTCTTGGAAAAGTCGTATGACTCAATGTGGCTTTGCTGGATAAATAAGTAAACTAATTTATGCAAATGTATTACTGGTCACAGATAACTTGAGCGCGCGAGAGATATCTGAACCGGTTAGCTGACTCACTAGTGCGGTTACGTACGATCAAAAATAACTCCCCATGACTTTGCAGCTTTCATCCAGCAGAGGATTACAAAGGGCTCTCAGTATATGGTTTTTAATATAAAGTTACTACAGTTTAGCCTTGCTGTTTTTGCGTGAGAAGTTGAGGAGATAATTGGATTTAGGAAGTAATAAAATAACATTTAAAGCAACTTGGTGTTCATTGTTTGCTACGCTGCTGATTTGTTTAAAATAAATGCAAGGTCAACTCTTTCAATTAAAAAAAAGTGATATAAATGACTGTAGTTAGGATACACACATAGTATTGGCTTTTTAATTAGCCCAGTGAGGGGAAAATAAATAACTGCATTAACAAATATAGCTCTTCCCCGGGCTTCGTGGCAGATTTGATTGAAGTTATTTCAAAACAGCGCTTTGATCCGAGTGTTGTATGGGTCTTTTGTTCATCTGATACTGCCTGAGCTTTCAGAAGATGTTTTGTTGTTGAAAGATTGCATTTTATTAATTTGGTTCATACATTAAAACATATGTATGTTTTTACAAATATTGCTTATAGTATTGTTTTTTAGATTGTATATGTACCGTGACTAAAAAGCATCGCATTTGTTTGTACATGTACACTATCCTTTAACACTTTTTCCCCAGCATGGAAAAGCAGGCATGTGAATTTTAATATTTTTTTTCAGTCTCCAGTTTCAAGATTCATCTCTCCTCTTCCGTAATACACAGGAATGCTGTTTGTAACATGGGATGTTGCGTTTGGAATGTTCCCCACAACTCTCCTCTTTCGTCGTAACGGAGCAGATCAAGCGGATATCAGAGAAGCTTCCGTGTCAGTGCCAGGCAAGCTTCCAGGTGGAATATTATTCCGATGGAAGATACCGGTTCGGGGACAAGATCGTCTTCGTCAGGGTAGGAACATGATATTTTATTTTAATTCTTTATGCTGTCATACCCATTAAGCCTGACATGATTATTTAAAAAAATTCCACCATTCCCAGGACAGCTTCGGGAGGCATTCATCCAGAAATCGATTGTAGAGTCATACATTCTTATATTATTTAGACCAAATTGAAAATGTCTGTGAATCGGCACCACTGAGATTCTTGCAAAGTTTGATCCATATAGCTGCCCTTAATTAAACCGGATGCTCAGTTTACTGAGCTGGCTTTGTCAGACTGATCACAAATGAAATTTCGTTTTGAAATTTGTTTGGTTGACAAAAAAAAATGAATATTGTATTTTATTTCATAAATTAGCATGGACTACATATAGCAGCTAAAACCAATAATACAGCATGCAACATTGCCATTAAAACATAAAAAATATCTACAGAATAATACGACACAAATCATATTTGGAAAGCAATCCTGATATGTTTTATTTGTTTAAAATCATTTTTAAAATGTTGCCCGAGGTTAATAAAGAGCAATAATAATGATTTGAAAGCTGAAAATAACCATAGGCATTGGGTAATAGGGGTCTATAGGGGGACACACAACTGGCCAGTCATTCAGTGCTCTCATCCTCTGGGATGGTTTGCCAGTTAATTTCACCTTTCTGTATTTGGGGAGTTACTAGAATGGTTTTGCCTTTCTCGTAATTTGACCTCGGTGGCACAACTGAAATACAATTAGTGATGGAAAACAATATTCGTATTTGCACTGCTGCACTGTTGCATATTCCGGAGCCATAATATTTGAGTTAGGATAAAAATTGTAATAACCAGCGGATGTCTAGCTGCATCGCCATATGAAACAGTGTGCCGTCTGGTTTGACCTGTAAACATTTGTGGTGGGCGTTTTGGCACATTGCGTTGAGACTCTGCGGCAGCCCATTAAAATAAACTGTGTAGCCGATGGGTTGCGACTCAAAAGCATAGCTGCATGCATTTGTATTGAAGAGAACTGGATTTTAACAGGTGGTGCGGCTCGTGTGCCTATGATCAAATCACCTGGAATGTGCCCGAACATGTCAGATTTTATAAGCCAAGCAGGAATTTTGAGCCTTGAAAGTGCGCTGATGGATGACCACCTCACACATTGTTAAAGGCTGCGGTGCTGCATAGCAGATAGCAGTGGGTAGTGCTGCAAAATACATTGTACTATACATCTGTTTCCACATTTATTCTGCCCATCGTCCTCAACCAACATTGATCAGCGTGGTAAAGTAAATAACGCACATGGCCTGTACGGTGTCGAGAGGCCCTCATCCAGCAGTGGATGAATGAAAGTCTTGTACGATATACTTGAGGTTAGCGTGACTCTGTGCAAATCACAACCCAATGTGGTTATACAGCAACAGTGTATATTTTTTTGGGCCAAAAATGTGAAAAATTATTCCTTTTTGTCAATTCTCCAAAATCATTGGCTTGTATAACAGCAGCATGGCAAGTTATAATATGGGGTGAATAGCCCAATTCGGTAAGCAAAATTCTCTTCAAAGATTTTCAGTTTAGTTGTTGGATTCATAATTAAAATAATTCCTTTTCCCTGCCATTGTATGCGTCACCGGCTGGCTTTTTAAAGGTCACATTCGCACACCAAAATCCTTGGAGACCATCTTTCAGGATGGGGAAGAAGTGAAAGCGCAGTGTTATGAATCACTCTCCTACAATAAGACCAACAGCGGGATAGAGTGACGGGTAAAAAGGCCGTGTTCATTATTTTTCCAGATTTTAACCTTTACATATTATCTGCATAAAATACAGCCACTGCCGATGAAGTAAATAAACATAACTGATGGATACTTGAACGCAACTATATTTATATATGTATGGTTACATAGTATGCATGTACACGCTTGTGCGTGTTTTTTGGGTTTTTTTTTTAAAGTTGGGAGGCAAGGTTGAACGTGAGCAAACTGAAGAGAAGAAGGCAGTCAGGGTTCCACAGATTAACGTTGCAGAAGACGAGGTTGAATAAATTACCGTCCATGCATGCAGGTCAGCGAAAACCAAAGTCTGCATGTGCGCTCAATCACAGCCTAATAGTTGCCCTTTGAGCACAGGTGTAAGTTAACCAAATGCAATTTCAACATTTCCTAAAAACCCCCAGACATTAAACAACGAACGCCAAGCCGTGTGCTCAATTTATGCTGGCCGGGTTGCATTGCGGAATTTAGCGAAATGGTACGCTGTTCTTTGCAGGTTGCACACGCAAGATGGTGAAGCGGCGGTATAATATGGCAGCAAAAGCTTGATAAAAAGTCTGGCGTAGCAATTGCCAGCGCTGGTGTTTATGCGTTGAGGTTATTGTGCGTCACGTTAATCGCAGGCATTGTAATTTTTTTTACGATGAATAGAAATCCGTGACCTACCTGTTCATTAATATGCATCGCCGATGATATTTTGTGGGCATGCGTAAGCCGTTGATTTGTTATTGTGCGCTGTATAAAAAAAGGATAGCATTTTTTCTGTTTCAGTCCCCCGCCTTTCACTGGCTCGAACGCAACAGACACTTGCAGGCCAGAGTGCCCGAGGGGAAGGGGAGCCGCAATAAAAAATTCATCACAGGGCGAGGTGGGAATCCACATGGGGTTTTGCTTTCAGCGGAAGTGCGGGTTGGTGCTGCAGGGACGCGTGGGATGGGGGGGCGCACGTCGGGCTGGGTTGCAGGGACCGGAGGCGGTGCGCACGGACTGTTGACGCACTTGCTTGCGTATTGGTGGGAGTGGTTCATGCTCACGGAGTTGCCAACGATGACTGGGAGGCCTCTGGGGGGGAGCCCCCCCCCCCCGTCATGTTTAGTCTGGGTGCAGAGACTCCTCCAACTCATGTGCGCCTCCACGTGACCAAAATGTCTTCTTGAAGTCGACGCATGTAGTAATAATAACGGATTGACTCATCAATTTAAATAGGTTTCCCAGCTCATGATATGTTCACCAACTCTTGTGTGTAACAATATATTATTTACCAAATATGCAAATGATATGCCGTCATATTTAGAATCGATAATTGAATTGATACTTCTTATAATTTATCCAATCGCTAGGGGTGAGCCGTTGAATAGCGAGTTAGACGTTTTTCTTGCATTAACATTACACGAATGAGAATATATATTCTTGGTTCTTTCGGTAAAGTCACGTAGAAGGGAAACCATAGAATATAAAAAATATAAAACAATAAAATTGTTTCATATAAAACAATAAAATTGCTTCATATGTTTATTATTTTATTGTTTCCCTTCTACGTGACTTTACCGAAAGAACCAAGAATATGAATCCCTGCAGTCACGAAAGCTTTAAATCACGAATGAGAATGCTTAGCAGCTTATTTGAAAATGTTGTCAACAGATGACAGTTTCCCATATTTTCTGTGAATATTTAATTCGTGTATTCCCCCCCTGTTATTTAGTAAATGTTTTGCAAATGGTGCCGAGTGCAAACATTCTCAATAAATCCTCAGTGAAAGCATGTCCTTTATAAATTGTGCACATTCTATGAACAATAAAAAAATCGTTAAGCATTTTCCGAGTTGAATTCATGTTTTTTTTTTTAAATCTCACTGTAAAACAAAGCGTAAATGGAGTTAGATATGACATTCTTTGGCTTTTTTTTGCCTTTCCCCCAAAATGTTATCTAGTTTCCGCTATCAGCGTCAACGTCAATTACACAACCCATTGGGAACTCGTTCAGAGTAAATGCATCACACCATGTTGGAGATTATCCTAGAACTATTTCTAAAATGCCTTCAAGCGACCTCGTATCTATACGAGGGGAAACAATTTCCCCACCAGCACTGCTACGGAGAAATATTAATTGTATGACAGTAAAACCAATATTTTTGTTTTATCTCAGAGCTGGATTATATCCAAATTAATAGCAAAAAACACATTTTAATGATGGATGTATTTATATACTTACTCGTGACTGAACCAAGACCATGAACTCCCTACACTTGAGAGCCTAGTTTAAGGGTGCCGTGTTGGTGAAATGTTAACTATCTCGCCTGGTATATTGGAGGTCATGGGTTCGATCCCGACCCTGGCGGGCCTGTGTATATGTTCTCCCCGTGGTCGGGTGGATTTTTCTCCGGGTCCTCCGGTTTTTTTCACCACATTTAGAAACATGCCTTTAGAGTATTTGGCTGCGATAAATGTTCACATGACAAGCCACTCGGTTGAGCTATTGTTGGTGGCCAGGTTACTTCTGAAAATAGAGCTATATACCTGGTAAAATACAAAAAATCACAGACGACTGTCTTGATTCTAACCCAGGCTCTCTGGTGGCTCCCTGAGCCACCAGGAACACTCTACATTAGGCGTTTATTTCTTCTGAATAGAAATGTGTACGCAGTGTTTTTCTGCCACCTGCTGGTCTCATACAGAATGCAACTGAAGTAGCAAGCTCTTTGGTTGAATAAGTTACTTTTATTGGGCGTGTACTTTGGTCCTGCGCACTCGAAAGTTAATTTGGGTACTTTAATTCGAAGGTCATCCAGTTTAAGAACTGCTCGGTTGCACATTCGAATTCCCTTTGGAAAAATCACAAGTTCTATAAACGGTGACTCACTTGATTATTCACGTTAACGGCAATGGTGGTGGTATTTGATTTTCAAATTCTCTGGGCTTTGCTGTGAAGGAAAGCCCAGAACCAACTCATTCTACGGTTGAATGAGAGAATAAAATAGGCTGAAAACCACGCTATAGAAGCATTTACATATGAATATGTACGTTTTTTTTTACTTTCGTAACAGATGCTGCACAACAAACACGTGATGGTGCGTGTGGGTGGAGGCTGGGAGACCTTTGAGGGCTACCTTCTAAAGCACGACCCCTGCCGAATGCTGCACATATCGCGCGTCGACGGCCGCATCTCCGGCCTGCCCGTGCCCGCGTGTGCGCCCTCCTCCCCGGCGACTTCCAGCTGCCAGTCCCCCCTGCCTCCCCCTCACTCCCCGGCAAAACCCAACGGCTACCTCCTTTCCTCCGGCAGCTACAAAAGCCGCAAGCAGGTGGCGAGCTAGGCAGGGCCGCACGGAGCGAGATGTATGTATGTATGCTGAACTCCTTTCGCACCCTGCGTAGCCGGCCGTGCTAATTGGAGGTGCGGAGGAAGGGACGACAAACTAAAACACAAAGCGGTTCTAAAGAAATTTGTTTTCAATCTAGAAGTGGGATGATCTCAAACTCTCGTCACAAACGGTTCATCCGGATGGGCTGACTGCAGAGTGATGCCCCGGATTTGGTGAACTCCATGGACTGCCAAGAAAACTGTGTTATAAAAACTGTTTTTTTTTGCTGTTTGGTTAGAATCGCTGAGAAGCTGTTTATGGGCAGTTGGTGCTTATATATTTTAGAAAATCTGCTGTCCAAAGCGGAGCTAATGGGGCATGTTCAGCCATTTGTATTTTTTACTTGTGCGGGCTTCAAGTGTTGTAAAAAACATATAGTTCTGAATAGGGTCATTAGGAGAAGCTTGCTTGTATGATGTAAACATTTTTGGACCATTCACTCAAGGCCAGAGCTATCTGAATGCAATAGGTGAAAAGTGGAGCAATGTGTACATGACAGTCTGAATGAATGAATTATCCGTAATGTTTTCCTTAGTTTCTGTTTCTTATGACCAAACTTATTTTAGTCTTTGTTGCGATTACTTGCTAGATTTCACGGTTATTCTTGCCAGCAAGAAACAATTGTTAACGTTTTTTTGCTGTTCATGCCATTAGCTCAAAGGAACGGCATGTGATCAGCCCCATTGCGTACCTGTAGTGATAATGTATGTATTTCCATATTGAAAAAACAATGACATACTTTGTTCTTTACATTTATTTACAGGTTTTTGAAAATTAATTGACTTTCTTTGAATAGCATACAAAATACAATTGTTTGCCCGTGGGAATAGCTGAAATTTAGTAACTTAAAATGACATGTTCTTGAATGCCTCATTGTTCAGTTGTATTCATTGTTTGGTTAACACCAGTGCCTACATCTTTATACAGGTTACCCTGACTCACAGTGATTTTATACACACCAATGGAAGTGCAGTACCAAACATTTTTTTCAGTTTACTTTTTTTCTCCCGTTTATGTATTCTAAGGAGCAATATTTCTCAGTGCACGAATTTATGTGCCTCATTAGATTTTACGTTTTAACTGGTAATTATACGCAATGCTCAAATGTCTTCCATATAATACATCAGTGCCTTCACGTTGTAAAGCTAGATTATGTTCCAAATGTGTGTTTGGGCGTATAGCTGTGTGTCAAGTCGCAAGGTTTACTGTAGCATACTCTTTGGTTCTATTCGGTAAAATCACGTAGGTAAAAAATGAAAAAACAAAAATCACGACGTTTCGGCCACAACACAAGCGGCCTTCATCAGGTGAAGGTATCAGGCTGTCTCAAGGACAGCGCTGGAGTGAAACACAGCCACGCTCAGACCGCGACCTTTAAGCTGTGTGCGAGGAAACAAGGTGCCTTGACAAAGGAATTAGCATAAAAATTAGCATTTGATTGGCCGACTTAGCATAGAGGTGGTGTACATCAGATTTGAAACACAGCAAAACGAATTCTTCTGCCGTAGCTGATCATTGTTACAACGCTGTGGGTGATCACGATATAATTTTCTCTGATACCAAGGTTCGTTGCAAACCCACGGGTTTTTATCAGAGATTTGTTCACGAGGCAATTCAGATCTACAAGCACAGACACAATTTCAACCGAGAAGATGGTTTCAAATTAAGCAACCATTGGAAAGATGTTCTAAATCGAACCATACATTAAACTAATTTTCAATAGTACAGTATATTTTTCAAGTAGTGGTACCCCAAACTTTCGCAGCTATTAAATTCCCTTTTCACACCATCAATAGGTAAACTCCCCCCCCCCCGCGCCAACCGGCATGTGCACCCGCATGTACACCACCTCTATGCTAAGTCGGCCAATCAAATGCTATTTTTTATGCTAATTCCTTTGTCAAGGCACCTTGTTTCCTCACACACAGCTTAAAGGTCGCGGTCTGAGCGTGGCTGTGTTTCACTCCAGCGCTGTCCTCGAGACAGCCTGATCCCTTCACCTGATGAAGGTCGCTTGTGTTGTGGCCGAAACGTCGTGATTTTTGTTGTTTTATTTTTTTACCTACGTGACTTTACCGAATAGAACCAAAGAGTATGGATCCTTGCAGTCATGAAAGCTTTAAATCTAGAATTTACTGTAGCAGTTCACAAAATATTTCTTAAGTTTTGTTTTGTTCAAATCATAAACACTCGCTACAACCCTAGAGCATCTTCAGTTAATTAGAATGCTCTGATCATCTGTAACCGCTGTAATGGTGTATTATGCCAAATTAAATGTCACGATTCATTGTAATGTACTGGCATCACGCTAAAAATCACAAATTCAACGATTTTTTCGAGCAGTGCCTTTTCAAAAATATATATATATCTCTGCAAATGCAGTCGTTTACTCTTGCTTGTGACCAGATATCACCCAAAATGTGCTTGATCTCAGAAACTAAGCTGGAATTGAGTCTACAATGTTCTTGGATGGGCAACCTCCATGTAAAAAAGCACGTGGCAGGGCTGTGGGGTTATGTGGTGGGCAGCAGTGGGCAGGGCAGCAAAATCCATTGTTGCACTGAACTTTCTGCGTGACTTCACATCCCCACACTGACCAGCATGTTGAAGCGTGGTCAAATAACCTCCATGACCCACGTGGGGTGGGGAGGTCCTCATTCAGCAGTGGATCGACGAAAGGGCGATACAATGTACGCACGTACTCTTACAGCAACTGAAATTATGACAATACCACGTTCTCCTTTATTATTCATGAAAGTGCAATGCGAATATTATTTCAAAGCAAAACATACCTTAAACGGTGTGAAACATACTTAATGGGCAATGCTTTATTCTCGTAAAAAATATAAACTGGCATGGAATCTACAACAGACATTTCCTGATATTTACATTGTGGACCTTTTTTTAAAATGTGGTTTTGACAAACACTACAGTATTCTACGTCGCACGATGAAGAACCCGGTCACCTCCCTGCTTGTGTAACCTTTAAAACGCTTTTGGTTGGAGCAACTCTAAAATATATTGTACGATGCACTTTAGATTTGTAAGACATTTCCACAAATACAACTCTATGGATTCTCGACCAGCCACTCTGTGCCTCATTTGTCGTGTTCCCAGTGGGAGCAGTGGTTGTGTTGATGCTTTGCGGTATTTGGCAATACGTGTACGACAGTGTTTGTATTTATCATTTCGTCACGTTCACGGAGTGATCATATAATGTTCCCAATCAAGTAAATAACGCTTGTGCAAGAATAGCAACTCGTCCACATCACCAAGTCAATAATAATCATTTGATATGCGGCAATTTTTCAGCCCTTTGTCATTTCAATGCTGGATGAAGGCTTGCTTGTACGTTGTCTGTAGCCTTGGCGCTTGTGCAAGCTGCCCTTCCCTGGTCGTCCTCTTTTTGAGGTAGCCGTCCTTGGAAATCTGCAACTCATCAGTTGAGTATTAATACACCGCAAGATATTTAATTTACATATAATTCTGCTCTTTTCAGTGATAGTGAGATATTCTCACTGTCCCGGATTTTTTGGGCCACAGGTGACAACACCTTATGCGTTGTCTGCGGATATTTTGGACCATACTTCGCCATGCTGGTCAGTGTGGGTTGGTGGCGAAGGGGAGGGGGGGGGAGCCCAAGAGACCGGTTCAGATGTCACCTGCCACTAAATGTTCCCCTCGGCTAGGAATCGAGCTCGGGTCGCCAGGTTCACAGTGCACTGCGCTAACCACCGCCAAAAGCTCTACCGAGTCGAGGATGGCAAGCGTGAAGTGTGCACGCCCTGTCGTCACAAAGCCGTCTTGGCCGAACAGGAGCCGCATTTTTCAATTGTTGGGATTCCCCCACAGTGCCAGATAGACTCGAGCCCTCAACCCCCGCTCCGTGCAGGGCTTGACCTGTGCAGCTTCGTGAGAAAGCGTGTGCCTTTTTTGTAACAATGTAGGTCGAGGGGATCTTTATCTTGCAGCGTTCTCATTTTGTGTGGAGATAAACCGAGGGTGCTTTGAGCAGAGAGTTAAAAAAGGGCTTTGGAGGCCATAGCCATTAGGTCTCACGGTTCGTGGAGAGGAAAATAAATCCAGCAATTACTGTAGTATGTTAATTGGCTATGAAGATCATGTCTCGGTAGTCGCTTTACAAGTTTAGGACTCAATGTATTGCCGTGATGGCGTTTATACAGAAACACGTTATATCTTTAGCTCTTTCGGTAAAGTCACGTTGAAGGGAAACAATAAAATAATAAAATATATATAAAAAACAATAAAAATTCTCATGATGCGTTAAGGTGCTGACTTGCACATTAGTAATTGTGTTTATTTATGCTATTTGTATAATATCTCGTCTAGACAAGAAAAACATAAAAGTTACATCCACGGAGGGGATGGAATAATGAGATCAAATTGTGCGTAGGTGCTTTGTGGATTCTTCCACCACGGGCTGGTTAGGTAGTGGCAACTTCAGAAAGCCTTCATCCAGCAGTGGATTGACCATGGCTAATGCCGATGTGACCTTCCTATATTCCAATCGGCTGAATGTTTGTAGATTTTATGTAGGTACTAACATTCTGACAATTGATTTAGTTTAACCGATTATTGAAATATCTAGTCAATCTTCAATGGTTCCTTTTAATTGTCCCACGGGGTTGTATCTTTATCTGTCACTAAATAAATTTGTGCTAGCATTTGCTACAACAGCTGTCAAATACATGACATGCACTTGCAAATCTCCTGCTGGCTGGTGTTATAAATTTTTGCAGTGCATTTATTGGAATAAAATTAATGTTTAAAGAGGGTCAAATATTTATATTTTCATGGACAGATGACTGCAGTATGTTGTTTTTCAGGTTTGCCTTTTGAGTGAAGCATGATTACGAACACACCCAATCTGCAGGCATAAAAGAACGGGTTGGTGACTGCAGAATGCACACCTCTTCGACCAACAAAATACAACCAAAACGAATAGACAAATGACCGACAGTGAGAGAGGGCGAAGGAGGGCGAGGGAGGGGTAATAAGTGCTGGGCTGTTTTGGCGCCAGACGGCCACCATACTGCTCGCCTCTGGAAGTCATCTCTGAAACATGCCGCTAATGTCGTCCCCGCTGACATGCTGTAGGGGTTTCCCGTCTGCCTGCTCCTCTTGAAGGTACAGTGTGCTCCGAGGAAGCTAGCCGCTGCCCCGTTGACGCCTTTGTCGTCGTTGACGTTTATAAACCTGGTGGGCCATTTCTGGAAAATCCTGCCATTGTGCTTATTTTTAAGGGCGTGTTTGATGGTAGAGAGGTTTAGGATAGGATGGTTTTTAGCAGTCTCTGCTGCTGCTGTGCGTCCATTCGTGGCCTGCATTGATGGCTTTTGTTGGGTGGCTGCAGTGAGAGTGTGATTTATGCAGTTTAAGGCAATTCCCGAGAGGGAATATCCAGTGTGGTGTGTTTTTTTAGTGTGTGTGAGAGAGCGCGGTTGCTAGGGCAGGGGCAGAGACATACATGGCCGTGCTTGTGCGCGGAGCTAAATGTGCTTGCGTGAATTATCCAACTATATATATAGTTACTTATATTGGTAAACACTTGTAGCCATATGGAAATATGGGCAGCGTGCGTTTTGTTTATTGAAATGACCAGTTCATTCGTACTGGGATTTTTAACAACATACCAACGTGTTTGAACATGAATGCGATCTGGTTGTATACTGTGATCCGAATGATTGCTGGCCTATAAACAACTACGCCACATTTTACGGTTAACTTGTTGCTTGTGTCACTGCTTAGTGGCAGGCGAAGGTAGAAGTCTTCCACAATCTCCAATTTGCCCGCAAAATAACTGAAGCGAGTAATATTGTGGCCATTACAGACCATGATTGGCTTTTTTGTTAACATGTAACCAACCTAAAATTAGATTTACACCAAAGGCCACCGCGTGCTGTTTGCTCGTTTATTAAATTATTCCAATCGATTGGAGTTGGGGGGGTTACAGACGCACACACATAGGCAGTGTTTACACTTGGGTGTCAGTTCACATAAGACATAATATGAACTGAACTGCCCCGCTCCTAACAGGGTATTGTTCACATGACTTGAGGCAAAGCCCCATCTCAAGTCCTGCCTCTTAGACTTCGCTCCCGGTTAAGTCCAGTTTTGGACTTTCCTCATTTTTATCTCCACCTTTTGTGTGCAATAAAAATCATTGGAATGTTCCAAATGTAATCAGTTTTAAGGAGCTAAGCATGGTTGAGCCTGGTTAGTACAGCGTTTGGATGGAGGCCTGTCTGAGAATACAAGCTGGCGTCAGCTTGGTTCAGAATCAGTATCTTTATTTCTACTGGAGGAATCTGATGAGCTATAAAGCTCTTTTTCACATGTCCAGTAGGGGCAGATCAGAACGTTACAACAAAAACACGATATCAGTGCAAAGTATAGGAAAGATAAATAAATTACTAAAAATATATACAAATAAAACTAAACGATCTATTATGAAAGCCCGGTGTTCTGTTTGTCCGTCAACTAAATTATAAGAGCCTTTTAGAAGGCCTGAATCAAAAAGTTATAGAAAGTGGACCTCTTTTAGATGTGGGGGTAAAACGTTAATCCAACAGGTTTACAAACATTGTATACCCCCTCCGCCTTGCCCGTCTTGGGGACGACGGGCAAGAGAAGCCCTCTGCAGGAGCTGGAATAAGCCAGCCAAAGGCCGCCAAAATGTACGTTTTTTATCTTACCAGGTAAAGCCCAATGAGCTATTAGCTTCTTTTTCAGACGCGACCCGGCCACACATGGCTGGCGAGGTGGCAATAATGTGAGTATGATGCCCTTGCACGTGTGAGTTTTCTCCAGGTTACCCCGGTTTCCTCCTACATTCTGGACACTCGTTGGTGGAATTTATCCCTTCAACATACCGGGATATCTTCAATTGTCCGACAAACTTATTGGACGTGACTCTTGTTTTGCGCATATATATCATGTAAAGTCTCAAACATCCTCCCTCTTTTCAGAAACGGTTTGATACCTGGAATATACAGGGAAAAAAACCCCTTCGCTATTGCGAGATTCGCATAACATGTCTCCACTAATTTGAATATTCCATACGACTATAATAGGACAAGAATGTGTGTCACTGCACGTGACGTCACTCCATGAGGCCCACCCCCACGCGTGACGTCACACCACATGACGCCCACCCCCCTGCGTGGCGTCACTCCATTTTGGGTCCACCCCCCTCATTCACATTCATGAGTGGGTGGATTTTTACACTAACGCAGAGGAAGGTCGAGCTGATTCAAATAATTTATTACGCAAAGTCGCTTCAAATATGCCGTTTATTTACAGAAAGTGAGGGTAAAAAATAAATCCACGCAGCACAGTGCTACATCCGTGCGTGACGTCACTGCAAAAGAGCCCCCCCCCCCATTATTAATATTCATGCCTGCGTAGAAATTTACACAAACTCACAAGAAGGTTACGCACTCCACATACCACACCCCTCCCCTGATTAATAATCATGAGCGGGTGACGTCACTCCACATGCCGCACCCCTCCACAATAACCATGAGCGGGTGACGTCACTCCACATACCGCACACATCCCCTCATTAATAATCATGAGCGGGCAACGTCACTCCACATACCGCACCCCTCAATAACCGTGAGCGGGTGACGTCACTCAATACCGCACATCCCCTCAATAATCATGAGCGGGTGACGTCACTCCACATGCCGCACCCCTCTACAATAACCATGAGCGGGTGACGTCACTCCACATGCCGCACCTCTCCCCAATAATCATGAGGGGTGACGTCACTCCACATGGGGCAACACCCACCACCTTCATTAATAATCATGAGCTGAACAATTTTTCTATTGAATATTTCAGATTTTATTTTTCGATTTAAAGCTTTCGTGACTTCAAGAATTCATCTTCTGGGTTCTTTCGGTAAAGTCACGTAGAATGGAGATAAAATAATAAAAATAATAAAATTCTCACGACGGAAGACAGCGCTGTCTTCCGGACAGTTCTGTTTCTTCACCTGAGGAAGGCTACTTGAGTTGTGGCCGAAACGTCGTGAGAATTTTATTGTTATTATTTTTATTATTTTATCTCCATTCTACATGACTACCGAAAGAACCAAGAAGATATTTCAGATTTGCTGCAATATAAACCCGTCCTTGGACGGGCAAAAAAGCTAGTACTACAATAATAAACCAAGAATGTGTCCCGCGCGTGACGTCACTCCACATGAGGCCCACCGCCCCGCGTGTGACGTCATTCCACATGAGGCCCACCCCCCTCATTAATATTCATGAGCGGGTGGATTTTTACACTCCCGCAGAAGGTCGAGTGGAAATAAATATTTGTACGCAAATTCGCTTTAAATTTGACGTTTATTGAAAAAGTTAATCAAATTACTACTATAAGCCAAGAATGTGTCCCGCGCGTGACGTCACTCCACAGGAGCCCCCCGTGTGACGTCACTCCACGTGAGGCCCACCCCTCCTCATTAATATTCATGAGTGGGTGGATTTTTACACGAACGCAAAGGAAGGTCGAGCTGAATTAAATATTTTATTACGCAAAGTCGCTTCAAATATGACGTTTTTTTGCAGAAAGTGACGGTAAAAAATACATCTACGCAGCACAGTGCTACATCCGTGCGTGACGTCACTGCAAAAGAGCCCCCCCCCCCCCATTATTAATATTAATGCCTGCGTTGAAATTGACACAAACGCACAAGGTTACGCACTCCACATACCACACCCCTCCCCTGATTAATAATCATGAGCGGGTGACGTCACTCCACATGCCGCACCCCTCCACAATAACCATGAGCGGGTGACGTCACTCCACATACTGCACACATCCCCTCATTAATAATCATGAGCGGGTGACGTTACTCCACTTGCCGCACCCATCCACAATAACCATGAGCGGGTGACGTCACTCCACATGCCGCTCCCCTCATTAATAATCATGAGCGGGTGACGTCACTCCACACTCTGCACACATCCCCTCATTAATAATCATGAGCGGGTGACGTCACTCCACAAGCCGCACCCCTCCCCTCATTAATAACCATGAGCGGGTGACGTCACTCCACATACTGCACCCCTCCCCTGATTAATAATCATGAACGGATGACGTCACTCCACATGCCGCACCCCTTCACAATAACCATGAGCGGGTGACGTCACTCCACATGCCGCACCCCTTCCCTCAATAACCATGAGCGGGTGACGTCACTCCACATGCCGCACCCCTCCCCTCATTAATAATCATGAGCGGGTAACGTCACTCCACACGTCGCACCCCTCCAGAATAACCATGAGCGGTGACGTCACTCCACATGCCGCACCCCTCCCCTCATTAATAACCATGAGCGGGTGACGTGACTCCACATGCCGCACCCCTCCCCTCATTAATAATCATGAGCGGGTGACGTCACTCCACATGCCGCACCCCTCCACAATACCCATGAGCGGGTGACGTCACTCCACATACTGCACACATCCCCTCATTAATAATCATGAGCAGGTGACGTCACTCCACATACTGCACACATCCCCTCATTAATAACTATGAGCGGGTAACGTCACTCCACATGCCGCTCCCCTCATTAATAATCATGAGCGGGTGACGTCACTCCACACTGCACACATCCCCTCATTAATAATCATGAGCGGGTGACGTCACTCCACATGCCGCACCCCTCCCCTCATTAATAACCATGAGCGGGTGACGTCACTCCACATACTGCACCCCTCCCCTGATTAATAATCATGAACGGATGACGTCACTCCACATGCCGCACCCCTTCACAATAACCATGAGCGGGTGACGTCACTCCACATGCCGCACCCCTCCCCTCATTAATAACCATGAACGGGTGACGTCACTCCACATGCCGCACCCCTCCCCTCATTAATCATGAGCGGGTAACGTCACTCCACATGTCGCACCCCTCCACAATAACCATGAGCGGTGACGTCACTCCACATGCCGCACCCCTCCCCTCATTAATCATGAGCGGGTAACGTCACTCCACATGTCGCACCCCTCCACAATAACCATGAGCGGTGACGTCACTCCACATGCCGCACCCCTCCCCTCATTAATAACCATGAGCGGGTGACGCCACTCCACATGCCGCACCCCTCCCCTCATTAATAATCATGAGCGGGTGACGTCACTCCACATGCCGGACCCCTCCACAATAACCATGAGCGGGTGACGTCAGCCACATGCCGCACTCCCCTCATTAATGATCATGAGCGGGTGACGTCACTCCACATGCCACACCCCTCCACAAAAACCATGAGCGGGTGACGTCATTCCACATACTGCACACATCCCCTCATTAATAACTATGAGCGGGTAACGTCACTCCACATGCCGCTCCCCTCATTAATAATCATGAGCGGGTGACGTCACTCCACACACTGCACACATCCCCTCATTAATAATCATGAGCGGGTGACGTCACTCCACATGCCGCACCCCTCCCCTCATTAATAACCATGAGCGGGTGACGTCACTCCACATACTGCACCCCTCCCCTGATTAATAATCATGAACGGATGACGTCACTCCACATGCCGCACCCCTTCACAATAACCATGAGCGGGTGACGTCACTCCACATGCCGCACCCCTCCCCTCATTAATAACCATGAGCGGGTGACGTCACTCCACATGCCGCACCCCTCCCCTCATTAATAATCATGAGCGGGTAACGTCACTCCACATGTCGCACCCCTCCACAATAACCATGAGCGGTGACGTCACTCCACATGCCCCACCCCTCCCCTCATTAATAACCATGAGCGGGTGGCGTCACTCCACATGCCGCACCCCTCCCCTCATTAATAATCATGAGCGGGTGACGTCACTCCACATGCCGCACCCCTCCACAATAACCATGAGCGGGTGACGTCAGCCACATGCCGCACTCCTCCCCTCATTAATGATCATGAGCGGGTGACGTCACTCCACATGCCACACCCCTCCACAAAAACCATGAGCGGGTGACGTCACTCCACATGGGGCACCCCCCCTTTCATTAATAATGAGCGGGTGACGTCCCTCCACATGCCGCACCCCTCCACAAAAACCACGAGCGGGTGACGTCACTCCACATGGGGCACCCCCCCCCCCCCCCCCCCGTCATTAATAATCATGAGCTGAACAATTTTTCTATTGAATGTTTCAGCTTTACTGCAATATACATACACCCGTCCTTGGACGGGCAAAAACGCTAGTTATATAATTCAATGACCACCATTTGTGATTTCCCAATCAACAACATTATTTCCGCTGCTGCTTCTGCTATCGTACGCCCATTTCCTTGCTGTGATATCTTCAATAATGTATGTGCTGGGATACGAAGTTTTATCGGTGTTGTTATTTGACATGGCGTAAGGATCTGTTCACCTTGCACAGTCGCTTGATGGAGATGGAGCTTTCGGCGCCCTTCTGTGACCTCTCACATTGCCCCTGGAATTGCCCTCCCCCCCATTACAGACATCTCCTCTGGCTTATTCTGAAAGTCTGCCCCTCTCGTAATGATTGCTTGCGTTATGCTTTCACCTGTTATGAACACCTTCCCGCCGTCTGGCATGTTATGAATGCCTTCTTTGACGACTGCTTTCCCCTGAATAAAATCCAGCCATGGAAATGTGAGATCTCATACCCACTCTGCCATTGGTGCTTTTTTTGGTTTTTTTTTGCCGGTCTGCTCACGCACCACGGATCTCTCATATGAAATATTGGCCGGGAAAATAATTTGTGTCACAAATAAATTCCACTCAAAAGCAAAAAGGGGCTTACCGGTACCACCAAGAGCGGCAAATGCTAACATTGATTGTTAAGCATATAATATGTAGATAAAAAAATATGGATGATAGTAAGGTCGACATGGCAGCTGTATATGAACAAACACATCTTAAAGAAAGGTACCGTAGTAGGTTGTACGGAAAATATCGTTTTGGGAACAAAAATTGTGGATGATAGATTTCCAGCAATGGTTCCCATCCTGTGGTCAATGGACCACTGGTGCTCACCACTGGCTAATATTGACTGACTTGCCCATTGCTTGCGAGTACTCAGAATGTTGTATAACGTTGTTGGTGCAGAGTCGTCCCACACAACATTTTTGACGGTTCACAGTAATCCACAGGCCCAGAGACGTTGGGAACCAATGGGTGTCATGGAATATAAAAACAATAACACTTAAGTGTGCGCGCGTATATATGCTAAACTTTCCGCAAATGCTGGACACCAGTAGCTGTTGCCATCCCAGGCGGTTACCGAGCAGCTCGAGGCAAGCCACCCCCCCGCCCTTGGCGCTCACGTGCGAGCACAGAAGGGCTCCCTCTCGTGGAAGGGGACCGCGACCGCCACGGAGAGCGAGAGAGACGCAGGGGTGGAGAGGCGGCGGTGACGACGGGGCCCGTGGCAGGGCAAGCGGCCGGGGGCAAGGCGGTGCGCGACCGGGCGGTCATGCCGGAGGCACTGCGAGGGCTCGACGGGCGTGGATCCCCACGGCTGGTGGCCCCGGGCTCGTGCAGGGCTGGGGTGGCACCCGTGGCCCCCGAAGAGGTGGACCCAGCAGGGGGCTCCGTCGCTAGCCGCCCCGTGGAAGCGTGGGGAACCCCAGAGCAAGTGGAGCAGAGCCGCCTGGCGGGAGCGAGCGAAGGAGCGTCAGGAGGAGGAGGAGACGAGCTGGATTGGGTGGAGATGGGGACCGCCAGCGGTGACCAGCAGCACGGCGCACGTGTCCAGGTCAGCGCCCGGGAGTCAAGAGCCGGTTCGCTCGAGGGGTGGAGTGATGCAAAGTTTCAGCCTCGTGTTGCGATGCGCATGAGCGGATCGTGGGAATGTTGGCGGCGAGTTGCGTTGTGTGTCGGGGGTTGTGCGCCCGGCAACAAAAGGAAGTTCGGCGTGCGACAGAATTGAAAGAGAACCCCACTGACCTGTTGGGATATTTTAACCTAAACTATGTTTTTTTTACTTAACACGTATAGCCCTCGCCGAGTTATTCATTTTCAGAGTCGACCTGGCCACACATGATAGCTCATCGAAGTGGCTGATAACATCGTCACCACACGTGTGGAATGTATCGTAATCAGCCGCAGCCAAATCATCTAAGACGCACGTTGTTTCTAAACGTGGAGGCAGGAACCCGGGGGGGTGGGAAATCCACGTGATCACCACGGGGGAGATAGAGAACACGGGAATTCCCAATATACAACGGCAACAGGCATCGTCAGGGTCCGGGATCGAACCTTTGGAATCCTGCGAACTAGGCGAGGGAGAGATACAGGCATAAATAACGTGTCCATTCGACGCCAAACGCGATGTAAGAGAGCCATGCGAGCTGCATCGGAAGGCCTTCATCCAGCGGTGGATCGCCAAAATGCTTGACAATTATGAACGAAACGAATACAACGAAAACTGTTATAATCTGATAAAGAAGTATTTATTGGGGGCACGATAATATAATCTAGTTTTATGGCAGGAATGATTATGATCGAGTGTTATATAGGATTTACAAAGTAAATAAAAGTCCAGTCATTATAGAGACATGATCTGGAGGTCACATTACATAACCTGACGAATTTAAGTATGATGTAGACAATAATGCTCAATGGGAATCACACCATCGGTCATAGTTTTAAAAACTAATTTTCCGTGCCTTGCCTTTCATACCATTATACATAAACAACACTGTTTCAAGCCATTAAATGCAGCCAGTAAAACGTTACTGAATGTATTGATTGGACCTCCAGATGGGAAAAGGTCATCGCTCCTGGTCAATAATTCTATAACACTCCGGAGTGTCTCATGCACGACTTCACGTTGAACTTTTCAGCAGACTGACTCCCACGAGAATGTGTGGCCTTTTAAATCCGGGATGACACCGAGAGAGAGGGGGGGGGGGGTAGGGGAAACAGCTTCCTGCGCATTTTACACAACAACCAAAAAAAAATACAAACTCGGAAAATATTTGGAAACGGCGAACACTTCACACGGAGATGACGAGTGTCTTGATTTCGGCCCAATGTGACCTTGCTTTATGGGGATCGATGTGTTTTGTCACCGTGAGGGCACGCGTAGACAATGATGTAATGGCGAGCGCAATGGACTTGCAATTCAGAGGTCGATCTCCTGGCGCGGCTGTTGTTGAAACAAGTGACAAGTTTCTTAAATCCCCAACACCCACGCGCCCGTCCATGAATGTCCACCCAGCAGTATCTGTGTGTAGAGCACAGTCGGTCGTCAGGTCGCGAGTGGTGGGGTAAAGTGTGGGTGCTTCCATATCTATGGTGAAAACCTGGCCAAGGTGGAAGATGAGGCCACGATATCCTCTCGATGGGGCTCTCTGGCAGTGGTTTTCAGAGTGCGGTTCCCGGTCCCACCGGTAGTCAGCGATGGTCCACCAGGTGGTGCGTGGGGCTGTGATGCAGACGCAGGTTGATCCGGACTATAGTAACAACGTTTATACCTTTTGTTTCGGACGTTAATTCATATTTCACTTATGACATTTAATTTCAAAACTAATTTAGGTAAACTACCCTGATTAAACGACTCTAACCCTAACATCTAAATGCCTCCCCCTAAAAAAATGTTTTTTTTAATGTTCCGCTCATATGAATAATTTTGTATGACTGGTGTTTAGAGAGATCAGTGAATGCGTATTGTCTCCAGCGGTGGGGTGGGCTGGGTGGTCCACGGGCCAAACAAGTTTGAGAGAAACACTGCCCTAGAGGTGTTTGTCGTCGAGGCCCAGTCGTCGGCAACGACGAGAGCAAGCAATCACAAGGGCTGCACTTTCACCGTAGTTTGTTCACACAAACATAAGCTTCGCCTCTTCCAGGATGTCTGGCCGGCGTGGAAGAGTAGGCCGAATACCCACGACGGCCTCTCCTAGAGCTCCCTATGGAGGAGGCCATTCTGCCAGCAAGCAATGGCAGAGCCGCTGCACTTTTTAAAACATCTTCTGATGAACCTTTTTACTTGCAATGAATGAATCTGGAGGAAGCCGTGAATACAAAATGCATCGCAATCTTAAATCTTTTCAGGCTTGTTTCATCGCCGTGTAACTCATCGCTTTTGCGATTCAGCGAAAACGTCGAGCTAAAGTGCACACACAGAAGCCATGCAGTTGTTTACTACCGTTTATTGTTAAATGGTAGTCGTTTATGTTCTGCTTGTTTCTGAGCTGTTAAATGTGTTTGCCAGCACTGCATTGCAATTTCGGCATAATTGGATTATAGCAAATTATCTTTTAAGTCTATAGGTGTTGAGGAATGTCATCTTCATAACATTGTGATTTGTAACTATGTACTGTATTAATTCTAAGCATGAAACTCTCCTTGCCTTTATAATACTCTCCAGAATATATGCGAGTTAGGGATGTCATATTGGCTGTTGACACAATGCTCGAAGGGAAGATAGCCTAGTGGTTGCAAATAACGATGGAGTGGTGGCCAAGGGGAGGGAATACACCTCAGAGGACATTTACTGTGGAGATGGAAAGATGAATTGGCTCATGTGGAGGATTTTTGACGGCGTATTTCATCGCAAGCCCATGAGAGATAGCAGCAGTTTGGGTGGGCCTTTATCCAGCAGTGGATAGATGACAGCTGATGATTAATTCTAAAACACTGTTCTATATATTTGGATTTAAGTTAATAATATGACAATTAACATTTTGCATTAGCTTGTCCAACATCCTATGGGTTATATTGAGCAATGATTTCCAGCAGAATTTGTATAAGATTAACTCTGGATTGGTTTCGACTTCAAGTCTCATGAGGGGCATCAGACCGGTTCAACAAATACTGCTGGCTCCACCTTGTGTTTATAGGCCAGAGCCCGCCACAAAAATCATGGGGCCCATTAATCGCAACACCCGCAGCATCGTATAAAACTCACTGTGCGCCATTGTGCTGTATTGTAGACGATAATAAATTAATTACATAAATAAATATAGAGGTCTGCCTTCATTTAAATTTACATTTTAATTCGTCAACCTTTGGCCTACAAATGTGTTTTTTTCCCATTAATATTTGGATTGTTTGAATTTTCAGGTCGAAATGTTAACCTGACTTAATGCACTTTGAGAGATGCCCTACATCCTTCCTCCCAGTCAGCTGGTTTATTTCTTGAAAAAAAATGCAACAATACTTCGTGTATCATTTCACCAGAGAAAAATAACAGTAAACCCACTAGGCTAGGAAAACAAAAACACCCAACAACGGTACATTTCATATTCACTGACCCCAGGGTATGTTTTGTGGGTTATATGGACACACGCTGTCCTACATGTATGAGTTTCAAAAATAGCATTCGAAAGCCATTTATGTTCGGTCCCTTTGAGTATTGACTGCCCGTGCAGTTGACCCATCGTCAAAGTATGACGTTGGTGTTGGGACTTGTCTTCCAATAAGATGCTATCAGTTGATCTCTTCTCAATTATAAAGCCACACATTGATTGCAAGCGTAATAATGAACAATCGCCACCTTGTTCTCGTGGGTAAATCCCACATGCAATAAAATAATAATTAGCACTTATTAGATGCCTGTCGCAATGTGTCCACGACTGAATTGATAATTTTTAAAATATATAAATGTTCTTTTTTTAAAGAATGTCCACGAATTATACACGAGGGAGCAGCGATAGTTACTTGAAAATGGCTTTCTGTGGTGATATTTCACAATAAACGACTGGAAAATACTAAATTTTGATTTAAAGCTTTCGTGACTGCAGGGATTCATATTCTTGGTTCTTTCGGTAAAGTCACGTAGAAGGGAAACAATACAATAATACAAATATAAAACAATAAAATTATCACGACGTTTCGACTGCAACACAAGCGATCATCATCAGGTGTGAAAACCACAGCAAGAAAATTTGAAAAAAGTGGCGGTTTTTTTAATTTGAAAAATTGGCGTTTTTTTTAAAGTAAAAAAAAACCCGCCACTTTTTTCAAATGTTCTTGCTGTGGTTTTCACACCTGATGATGATTGCTTGTTTTGCAGTCGAACCGTCGTGAGAATTTTATTGTTTTATATTTTTATTATTTTATTGTTTCCCTTCTACCTGACTTTACCGAAAGAACCAAGAATATGGAAAATACTATTTAATGTAATGATAATGCACAGTCCACTGCCAGGTGAAGGCCTTCTCACGCCATATCAGTCATGGCAGATGTATGATCATACGTCACCATACTGGTCAATGTGGGTTATTAATTGGAGGGGAGCTAATCAATTATTGATTCTATTCGATTCATACATTTTGTACCACAAAAAAAACATTGATTCTTAACTTTAATCTTGACCCTGAAAATGTTACTCTATATAGAATTGTTGACGGCAGTTAAATTGATACAGCCATAATATATGCTAATTTTCTAATCAAGCTGGAAAAGCATATACTGTAAGGCATATACCATACGGTTCCCCTGACATAGATTGGAAGTACGTACGTATACAATTGTAAATGTGAATCATGGAAAAAACGAGCCTTTTCCCACGTGCATATAATGCATTTTTATAAGTGTGTGCAAAATAATTGCATTTGAAATTCAAATCCAAGAGCAGAAATAATGGCAGCAGGGAACAGAAATTAAATGCACCTCTAAGGTGTAATATTTATGATGTTATTATTAATCAAATTGTGAACTCACCAGACCATAATAGGGGGGAGGGCTCTAATAGTTCAGCCCTTGCACTGGTGCTTGGTGTTGTTACACCGTCGATTAACAAAGCAGCAC